ATGGGTGTCCTCGAAAAAATTGATCACAGTTTACATCAAAAAGAAGAGCAAGGAGATTAGGGTTTGTGCCGATTTCTCAACAGGTTTAAACAATGCATTAAAGGATCACCATTATCCCCTTCCGAGCCCTGAAGAAATATTCGCGAAACTGAGTGGAGGGAAATATTTTTCTAAAATTGACCTCAGTGACGCGTATTTACAAATCCCAGTCGATCAGAAGTGTTCAAAGCTGCTATGCATCAATACCCATAAGGGATTATACAAGTTTAACAGACTTCCTTTTGGGGTCAATGTCGCCCCTGCAATTTTTCAGCAAACAATGGACATGATGTTAAGTGGGCTGGACTTCGCAGTAGGGTACCTGGACGATGTGTTAATGAACAGCGCTAGCAAAGAACAACACAAAGCTCATGTAAACCAAGTATTCAAAAGGATCCAGGTTTATGGATTTAAACTGAAACAGGAAAAATGTACCTTTTTCATGGAAAAAATAAAATACTTGGGGCAAATTATCGATGAACATGGAAGAAGGCCGGATCCAGATAGATCGAGTGCAATAAGGGACATACCTGCTCCAGAAAATATTGCGTCTCTACAGACGTTTCTTAGGGTCGGTGAATTATTACAATGTATTCGTGCCAAATATGCATGAACTAAGATCACCCTTAAATGAATTGTTAAGGAAGGATCAAAAATGGGTCTGGATGCAAGAGTACGAAGAAGTATTTCAGGAAATTAAAGATATATTAACGTCTGACTTGTTTCTGGCACATTATAATCCCAAGCGTGATATTATAGTTGCAAGCGATGCCAGTGCCTATGGCATAGGAGCGTGCATACTACACAAAATGGATGATGGAAAAATAAAACCCATAGCCCATGCATCCCGTTCACTTTTACCAGCCGAAAAGAACTACTCGCAAATTGAGAAAGAGGCACTAAGCATTATATTCGCAGTAAAGAAATTTCATCGTTTCTTGCACGGTAGACAATTTCTGTTACAAACAGATCACAAACCTTTACTAACGATTTTGGATCAAAAAAGGACTACTACAACATACGGCGAATAGACTCCAAAGATGGGGTACCATTCTTCTGAATTATAATTTTCAAATGGAATATGTACCATCTAAAAAACTTGGTCATGCAGATGGCTTATCAAGGTTAATACCTAAGCACACAGAACCATTGGAGGATATGGTAATAGCAGCCATTCAAGCGGAAGTTGAAGTAAAAAATACTTTATGTGACACGATAAGAGAACTTCCAGTAACGCTTGATGAGATTAAGAGTAAGGCAGAGGTGAACGAATTTATTATAAGCACGAAATAAAAAATCAACAGTAACCAACTGGATGAGGAAATTTATTCAATTTGTGATAACGTCCTGTTATATAGCGACAGGGTCGTAATTCCTACGACATTACAGAAAAGAATGCTTAAGGAATTCCATGTAGGACATCCAGGCATATCAAGAAGGAAAAGCCTTATGCGCTCTTTCGTTTTCTGGCCAAACATGGATAAGGATATAGAAGAAAAAGTCAGGGAGTGTAGAGGATGCGCATTAGCTATGAAAGCTCCTCCGACTCAATTCGGATCGTGGGCAAAACCGGACCGACCTTGGTCGAGAATTCACTTGGATTTTGCTGGACCGTTAGATGGTTTCTACTATCTCATTGTTATAGACAGTCTAAGTGGCCGGAAGTACTGAAATGCAAGAACCCCACATCCGAGGCAGCTATTAACTTCCTGTATGAACTATTCGCCAGGTTTAGAGTTGTAGACTGCATTGTCACAGACAATGGAATGCAATTCACGTCTACCGAATTTAAACATCTCTGCGAGGATTATCTAATCGAGCATATAACCATTCCACCATAGCATCCAAGAAGCAATGGGCAAGCGGAGAAATTCGTGGATACGTTCAAGAGAGCCCTGAGAAAGGCTAGTGGATCACCGACGGATAAGTCAATCTTACAAGTTTACAGGGTCACTCCGAATGAAAACATCGAAACGTCGAAGACACCTGCTGAGGTCATGTTCGGACACAAGGTTAGATCAATTTTCCACAAGTTGTTACCAAACCAGGATAGGCCAAACCTCAAAAAACCAATAACAAAAAAAACGGTATAAAGTTGGCGAAAGAGTTTTCTACAAGATGCATAGAAATAATAGGACCTTTTGGGAGTCCGGCACTATTGAGAAACAAATAGGCAACATGGTCTATATGATTAAGGGACCAGATCACACTAACCAAATCCGGAAAAGATACTCGAACAGTGAGGTGACCAGATCGCCTGAGGAGGACATCATGGACACAGTGTTTGATACTTTTCAGGTGCCTATACCAGAGACAGCACCTGAGAATAGGAGGTCAGAAAGAAAATGGAAATCAATGGAGTTGATTAGGGTGAACCCAAAACAAAAACGTTATTAATTCCCAGACGGGATATTTTCAAAGGGGGGTGTTGCACTGGCCTCTAACACAAGGGAATTACACCGGTTCTCACTATATACAGTGCCAGTAATACCTACCCGGTATAAGCAGCGACAGTACTACAACTGCCTAGCTGAGTAGTACCCGTTTCCTACCTTTGTATCTGTGATGTTAAATACACTTGTTCTTTAAACCAACTTCGACTTGATTTTCTTATTTTTACTATTGTGCCACGATACAACATTACGCTATGCTGTTTTCTGCGAAAAAGTGGAGATACCTAATTTTAATTTCAATTGATTCATTAATCAACTTTTTATATGACCATAGAGCAAGAAAAAAATGGCTGTGATCACCATACTATTTTGACAGGCAGTGAGAATAGCTGCTAAGTATTTGGGGTGTCTGTCACACATACAACTAAAAATGACTTTGGTCTGCTATACGTAACATTAACAACTTTGTTTGCATCTTATTATTTTTCTTAAAATAAAAAAATGCTTATTTTCTTCTATCTTTAATGTTTAAATCAATAAACAAAAATATGCCAATTTTTACATTTTTTCTTACTATACACTGATAGCTGTCAAAATGCAATGAAAGGTAAGCTGAAAAGTAAATTAAAATTCAATATTTCTCTTTAGTTTTTGGATGTACCTTCAATTCCTACAATATGTATAAAGACACAACAGCAAAATGACATGTCATTGCATAGCATTTTTCTAACCATTACCACATTTTTGATGACTTAAATCTGAAATTAGAGATAGAATTTTAAACTTATACACCAATTAATCTATTCCACATTTATTAAAATCATTATTTATGATGTAAATATAATGAATACTGTAAAACATACAAATTCATAGCGTTTAACAATGCATTAGCTATGTGTAAAGGTTCCCAGTGTTTGTTTTGGAATTGAATACAGTAAAAAGCCATATCTTTAATAAAAAATAATTCTAGAAGCTTTTACACACACCTAGAACATTATCTGGAAGCTGCAATAAATTTTGTTATATCTGCTATTTAAGCAATGCTTTTTGAAATTTTAAAAAGTTAATGACAGGATAAAAAAAGGAATTATATAAGAAAAGAGGTTTTGTAATATTTGTAGGGTCAGTCATTTTAGGAGGAAAAATAAAAGCCGAGTCTTGTGTCTACAAATACAACACAATTTTTTATGCAACGCAAAGAAATGATCTTTGCAGAAAAGGAAGAAGACCAAGTTAAATATGACAGTAACATTTATACAGACAGATACACCCATATTAAAAATCAGTTCTTTGTTATGGTCATGAAGAAACCAATAGTTTGATTGTTCAAAATGATTTGTCATAAGTCTGCAAAGTTTTGAAGTGTTTTTGTTGCAAATGAGGAAATTAATTGTTATGGTATGCCAATATGTGTGTGCATGAAGCACACACTAATGAAACATGTGTATGACTGCTGACTGATTGTGTGTGATAGCAGTAATTCTTTTTGATATAAAATGATGAAAATTAAATTAACAAGAGAAGATTATCTGAATTCATGTGAAAGATTTTGTGTCTGTTCTTGTGAGCAGTGTTGAAGTTCTTGCCAGAGTAAAGTTATTCACCAGTTATATTATTGGCCTTTTATCCAAGCATGTGGCACTTCAAAGAATTTCTCTCAACAATCCAAGAACGTATTTCAAATTATCTCACTTTGTTTACTTTTGAAAGTATGCAATGCATATGTCCCTTTGGTGAGCAATGAACTCTCTTAACTTTGTCTTAACATTTTTGAATATCATTTTGTGTCAGATCATTTTAAAACTACAGACTTTAAAAATTCTGATTTATTTTCCTGAAATGAGCTACTGAAACTACTTTAAGTGTGTAAATTTGTGAATAAATTCCTTGTTTTGTTAAAATTACATGTGTTTCCATATCATTATCATCCTTCATCAATCTTCTTGGCGTGGGGAAATCAGCTCTTCATTTTTAACCCCTAACCTCCATGCCCATAATATTTATTGATATAATTTCCATTTTTTGGATGACTTCAGGCAGAAATCTATAGAAGACATTAAATTCACAATTTCTTCAGTGGGGTGACTTTAGCAAACAGTTGTTATTGCAAGCTGTCACTGGTTTATTCTATATAATTATCAAACAGCATTTCTCAAGATCTGTCAAGCTTTTCCTTTGTTACTTCACACACACACACACACACACACACACACACACACACACACACACACACACACACACATGGCCAAATACATGCTATCATATTTTTTTGTATTATACTGACTTGCAGAAAAATGAAACATTCAAATTTAATGAAACACTTCTTGATTACTTGTAAAGATCTCAAATTATACACAACTTTAGAGCCTTATGTAGGCTCTAAAGTTGTGTATAATTTATATTGTGTATGCTTTGTTTTCACTACAAAGTTTTTTATTCAAATAGCAACTCATTAATTAACAGCTGAACTGATAACATAAAACAAAAAATATTGTGTTAAAACACTTCATTGCTAGTCAACAGTAAAAACTGATTTGTAAAAACAAAATTTCTTTTTAGAAAAGGAAAATGCCTTTAACAGTGACTGCTCCAGAATTAGCTGAGGAAAATGCAACAGGTCCAATTCAACCTACCTGTGAGAAGAATGAACCTGAAAGCACTGATGCATTAGAAGGTAATTTGACTTGGTTATCATACTTTGTTTTTTCCAGTAAATAGAACCTTTTTCAGTTTTATGTCATGTATTTTATATTCTTATTTATATATATATATATATATATATATATATATATAAAATTAAGTAATTAAAATCTTGGTAATCTGTATGGATAATCCCAAGAAGGATGAAATTTGGAGAGCTCAATGTTAAATCAGAGCGATTAATTTAATGAAAACAGTATTCCTGTTTATTATTAAGTGTTTTAATAAAAATAAATTTAAAATCATTCCTATCTCTCACTTCCCTCTCTAATTTCGACCATATCTGTCACACTCTCTCTCACCACTCTTTATATCACCTTACATCAACTTAATACTACCCTTCAAACATGTATAAAAAATATACGTAAATTTAAATTCATTTTTTCACCCTTGGAAATGTGGTCTGATGAGCCAGGGGAAAAATATATGTGTGTGTGTGTGTGCACAAATATATAGAAAACTAGGAAAGAAACAGTGCTCAATACAAAAGTAGAGCCTAAATTATAATTATTTTTTAAAAATTTGATTCCTTCACTACATAAGAGTTCTCATGTTTCAAAAACAGGAGCTAAAAACTTCAATTTAATTATAAAAATTAAATTGAATTAAGGTATCAAGCTCTGTTTCATCTTCAAGCAAAATTTTTGGAATAACTAATCTTGAAATTTATGCAGCTTTATAAGCATATTCATTTGTAAAATTAATTACTATGGAAATGGCTGAAGCAATTATTTCAATAAGGGGCATAAGGGTTAACATATTGTATCAACATATTAGTTACTTTCGGAAATAGGTCAAGTCAAGGTAGTGTCGGGGTTGCTATTTTAAAAATTAATTTGAATTAAAGTATCAAGCTCTGTTTCATCTTCAAGCAAAATTTTTGGAATAGTTATTTCTTCATACTACTGTACAAAATCTGGCACAAGGCCAAAAAGGGGGTTGGGGAAGGACGGTCTTCTTCTGTCTTAATTCTAAACTTAGCTAGTCACAGACACAGACCCAAACATACCAACAATAGTCCTATCACCAAAACAACACATTCACTCCTACCTTTCTTACTGCATCCACCATAATACCTCAAATTCTCTATGAAATCCTAACTAGTTCCCTAATGTACATTTCAAAGTCTGTGGGGGGAGGGGAAAAAAACAACAATTTAAAAACCCCAATGATTATTTACAATATGAATTAATACTATTTACATAAAACAAAACAAAAAGGGTTAGTAATAACCCCCCCCCCACACACACACACACAATCCCTAAATGTGGCAGAAACATCAGTTAACTGGACGAAATAACTGCGGGATTATAACATTATAAAAAACCAAGCACGCCCACAAACATGCACTCATTTAGACACAATAACAAATACGAAAACACACACACAAAATGAAAGTCACCCCGCAACAACCAGAGAACTGACATCACTGACCACCTAACGAGGGAGGGATGGGGAATTAAACAAAAGAAAAATAGGGACAGAAATAAAAAGGGGCCAATGAGCATGCATAATAGCTAAGTTAACCAGAAACGGGAAACTAAAGATTCAAACTAAAAAAACCTAAACTAGCCTAATAGGGGGCGGGTTGTTGTGTTCAACCCTGGTAGGACAAAATCCTGTACCTAACCGACATCCAAATGCGGGTCCAGGTCAGCCCTTTCACTCTACACAATTTATAAGATTTACCCATCTTTTGCCAATTCTGATGAAGAGAGTTTTTTTTTTTCATTATTAATCTTGACTTTAAGCAGATGCCCAAAGTACAAGATCAGTTGGGAAGAGGTGAACTTCTCACCTCCATAGAATTTTTCTGACGTGTCAAACCAAAAAAACCTTCTCTCATAACTCCTAGCAAGCAGTGGAACACATAAAGTTCAGCCTTCATCAACGGCAGTGCCACATTACTACAAAACAATTTTTTTTAAAAGGACAAAGAACTTTCCCTGCAACATGCAAACCATGAGGCCTTCAAACAAACTTATATCACAACGGAGCTACCAACTTGCAATGAAAGAAGACATGACCTAGGGTCTCGACTTCCCCCACTACAACATCGTCAGTTTGGAGATTTCTCCAATTGTTAAATAAGGGTTCAAGCTTTTTGGTGACCCAGAAATACACATCACCAGCCAGGTGAGGGATGCCTCATCGTTATTGGAGACATTTCAACCCGGGAGCCCAAGGCCAGATCGAGCAAGCCTCCTGCTTCGTAAGACTGAGCTCATCAATCAGATCATCATGAACAGACCCCCTAACTAACACTAACTAATGGGGTTGCTATTTTAAAGCAAATGATGACATTCATTACACACATATTGTCTAGTCTGTTTCAGCAACAAAGAGTTATTGGCATTATTGTTACACAGTTAAATGTCTAAAGATTTTTCTTTTCTAAAAGGGTTGTTTGTATATAAAATGCATCGTTTTGAACTACAATACGTTTTTTTGCTGACTTTATAAAGGGTTCTTTATCTTATGATTGGGTTAAGCTTTTAAACCTTTTAATATACTGTGAAATTTAAAAAAATTTTTAAGCTAATTATTTAATGTGAAAATTTGTTGATGTTGGCAAAAAACTGTTCACTCATGTCTATGGTTTTATAAATTTTCATTTTTTAGCAACTTAATAATGTGTAGTTTTTCATGTAGGCATAAAGGGCATGGGTCATCCAAGTTCTTGTTCTATTTATTATTTTCCATTTTACTTTTGGTGTTTTATTCATTTCTTTTAAATGCCAAAAATATTTGGATAGGGATGTCTGATTTCTATTTTAATATTATTGAAGAAGCTTTTGTGTTGTCTCCATCTAATTTTTAATTCATTTTTTATGGAACATATATATATATATATATATATATATATATATATATATATATATATATATATATATATATCATTTCAGTGTTAGGACTCTCAATGGATGAGATAGTGCATTGGTATACCACAGATTTTATGCAGCATTTATTTTCCAACAGGCAGTCTTCAGGGTTTCTACAATCACATAATTTTTCATTATTTTTGTCTAATTTTAGTTTAGGGTTACTACCTTGACTTGACCTATTTCTGAAAGTAACTAATATGTTGATACAATATGTTTTACATATTTTCGTTGTCCTCTTATTACTGAGAGTAAAAACATGAACAACATCTATTCCATACTTGAAGATGTCTGTAGGAACAGACGAAAGCTTGTAGTAAAAATAAGAACTAATGCAACAGAAATTTATAAAAACAAGGATCTTTTCATTCATAACAGGTTCGAGGTTTTTGTATATTATTTGAATTGTTCGCGACGATGGATTTCTCGCCAATTAAATCATTAACCTTTGTATTTGTTTTTGTATGAATAATTCATGAATTTGTAAATTAATTGCACCTTTATTGAAATATATATATATATATATGCGTGATACTATTTGCCATTACCGTGGTAAAATGGAAGAAAGTTTTGTTATAACATAAGAAAGTGTTATATGCTAAGAGACATTGAAATGAGAAGTGTTAGTACCAAAAACCCATGGGAAGAATTGAGAATTTAATTCACCCATAAAAAACATGAATTATCTGCTGAGCAGTTTGAACAATGGAAAAGTGACCCAGACTTAAGGGGAAATGTTGATTGACACACAGCTGCAGATGCAAACTGTAAAGTGAAAGTTTCATTTTTGCTAAACAATGAATTTGGAGTTGAATCTCCTGGTTGAAGTTGATTTGATACAGGAGTGGGGTGCATAAGCCACCCACACTCACTGAGGAAGTTTAGTGAGAGATATTGATATGAGAGATTGGGAGAAGGAATTTCCCAAAATTATGTCAATAAATATGAATGCGCAAAGCGAATTCGCTAGTAGAAGACAGAAGAGAGGCAGAAGAGATGGAGATGAGACCAGAGACAGGATACAGGCCCACATGATTATCTGCTGATGAAAGCCTCCGACTTCAGCCTTGTGCCAAACTTTACCAAACTTTATTGTAAACAGAACATTTACTTAAATAGTTGTATCTATAAGAATAATATATAAACAGAAAATATATTTAAATAATTGTCGGATTTAATATGTGATGTCATTTGTTTACATTAACATATGCTTTGAGCTGATATGAGAGTTCGAGAGAAAATTGTGGGAAATTTGTAGTTTGAAAACATTAATTTAACTTTGCTAACCAGACGTTTCCTCTGTAGCTAAATGGTATAGCATGTCAGAATATATGACGGTTTTTTGTAGGGTACAGTTTCAATTCCTGTTGGAGGACATATTTTCTATGAGATTTCTCAGACATTCAGGCAAGTAAATGTTATTAATACTGTTTATTATAAAAAGAGCATTTACTTAAATATTTGTATCTATAAAAATAACAGAAAATATATGTAAATAATTGTTTTTTTAGTCCATTTCATAATATATATATATATATATTATTATTATTATTATTTCTGTTATTTTTTATAGATACAAATATTTAATATCATACATTTGCCTTTTATATATATATATATATATATATATATATATATATATATATATATATATATATAAATAGATAGATAGATAGATAGATATTATATACTTAAATAAATGTTTGTGTGCTTAGTCAGTAGAGTTTTTATCAAAATTAAATGATGTTTTGAATATTTCTTTTTCATGAACGTTTAGCAAAATTCTGCCAAATGTACATCTCATAAATTGACTTCATGGTTTTGGCAAATCATCCAACAGGGATATGATGAGTGTAATACAGTTGACAAATAAACTTGATTCAGAACAATATAAAAACTGATATTCTCTATAGATGTACCTTATTTGGTAAATCTATTTTAACTGGCAATATGATTAGCTTGAATATATAACACAGTGAGGTTTTAATCTTGAAAATTTAGCTGGAAAATACTTAAAAAACTGATGTTTGGTTCTGTAAATAAGAATTGTTTGTACCCAGCAGTTTTCTTTGCAGGCATAGAAAGACAAAAAGCAAAAAGTGGGTATTTTTCTTTTTTGATTCAAAGATGGTACGGTAGAAGCCAAATTATATATTCATTTTATCCCTCTTTAAATTGAATGATGTACTTCCATAAAAACATGTATGACATCTATTTTTTATTCTTTGTATATGAAGCATGCATAAAAATATCATTTATCACTTAAAATATTATATTAGGAATGGTAAAATTGTGATTTGATTACTGATCCTCAGATTTCTGTAGATTTACTTAATATATATATATATATATATATATATATATATATGAAATAAAATACAGTATTAATAGTTAATAATCATATAATCTATGAAAATTTTGATTTGTTATAATTTTGCAGAACATTGTGCAATTGATGATGAAAAACTTAAAGAACCAAAAGAAGAGAAATGTGAAGAGAAGGCAATGGCTGACAAAGAAAAACAAGACAAATATGGAAACAATTGGCCACGGTGAGCAAAGAATAATTAAAATAGTAGAACATTATTTTCCAATATATAAATGTTTAAAAAGAAAAGGATTTTTGTTGTCATTTATGAGTTAATGAGGACAAATATAGTACAAAGAAATCTTGCCAGCTTAAGTGACACTAAACAGACACTGAGAGGCAATATATAAAAGAGAAAAATTTCTTCGCATTAAAACAAGTTTAATTTTAAACAACAACATTCACTTTTAAGGAAAGCAAATAAAATACCAACAAACCAAAAATATCTTATGTAAAGATAATGAGCAAATAACTAATTGTAAATAATGGTTTTGTTTCTTAAAGATGCTATATAAATCATAGTGGAATCATACATTTGTCTTAACTTCTTGTTGTAACTTGGTGAATATTCGGTTTGTTTTGCAGCTTCCTGGTGTCAACAGTTGAGTTGCTTCCTTCATTAACTACAAAACCTTCATAAAATAAATATATATGTGCAATGAAAAATAAATGCGGTACAAGTTTTATTCACCTATAACTCAACTCTGGCAACAGGGTGGAGGTTATTATTTTTTATAACTGGTCCAGGGGGAGACAACTATGGTTTTATTCCACTACAATAGGTTTCATTTTCTCCTTCCAATTAAAATATTTCTTTAACTGATAATTTCCTGCGAAGTAAGTATTAATTTGATCTGGGATTTTCATTTCATGCAAGGTTCTTGGTAGTTGCTAGCTTTCAAAACTTTTAATAATTGAATAAGAATCTTTCTTTTAAGATAACTTTAGTTTCTCTCTCTCTCTTTTAGTCTCACCAAAGCATTTCTTCGCCAGCATTGCAAAGATCTCAAATTGTATATGACACCAGAACTTAATGATGTACTTTATCTTCACTACAAAGGTTTGTATTTATATCAATCACTACTATTGTAATCAGACAGAAAACTAAGCATGATATAAAATAAACTAACAAATGAAATTTCAAATGTTTAGTCAAGTGAATTCTATAATGATATGTACTGATATTTTATCTGATCCAGTTATGTAATTGTAAAAATTTGAAATACGTTTAGAATTTGGTAGGTGGTTAGAAGCTATTATTCTACCTTGAGTACAATTGTCCTGTGAAAATTATTCTTAGAACTTGAAGCTTCTTATTTTACCCAAGGAATTAAGGATTAACTGAACTCTGTTAGTAACTGGGAGAGCAAAGAGTTAGTAGCATGCTGATTTATGTTAATCATGAATTGATATAGTTTACACACTTCTTAATCAGATTATTACTGATCACTGCCGTTATAGTTTAAAACAGTTTTATCTCAAGAATAACTGATCCTTTACCATATGTGAACTTTCATTTAATTTTCTGTTAAAACAACAATCCTGCTTGGAAATGTAAAATTTGAACTTTATTTAGGTACCCAAAACCAATCCAAATTAATAACACAAAGAAACAAAAGCTATTGATTATATACTTGTATGTATTGTCTACTATATCTTTTAATTTTACTTCAGGATTTCCCTGCATAGAAAATTTAGAAGAATATACAGGACTAAAATGTCTGTGGCTGGAGTGTAATGGTCTGCTTAAAATTGAGAACCTGGATAACCAGAAGAACCTTAAATGTCTATACTTACAGCAAAATCTCATTCACAAAATTGAAAATCTTGAACAGCTACACCTTTTATGCTGCCTGAATGTCAGCAATAACATGATTGAAAAGATTGAAAACTTGTGTGAGTTCTTCATTTGTTTATTTTGAGAATGAGAATTTAAAATAATCTGTTTTATTTAATGAAATTAATCATCTATTATTTAAGAATGTATATATTTATTCTTAGAAATAGCCATTTTTTGTGTAAATTTATGCATTTTCTTTATTTCAATCAGATTGAAGAACCTTTATAAACAAAAGTAAACAAAAGCCCTCAGATTTCAACCAATGCTAACCAATGGTTAAACTGGAAACCAATAGGTTTTTGTTTGATTAACTTAATTATATAAATCCTTTAACAAGAAAAATATTATCAGGCATTCTACCAATTTTTTTTAAATATGGCTTACCCATTTTTGAGAGGTATTTTAATTTATTTCAATTTCTTTATTTTTTTATTTAATTCTTTATTTTCTTCTACCAATGTTGGGTTAAAAAATTTTTAAAATCCTAGAAACTTCTAAAAATTTGATCTGGAATCATAGGTATGTGAAGAAATTCTTACTTTATTTAATTTTTAAATTTTTTATTTCTTCCTCCTTCCACTTAAATAAAAATATTTTGTTATTTTCCATTTTCTCATTTAGATAGTGCCTAATGAAACTTTAACTAAGTTACAACTTTCTACATCCATTACAGTCCTTCTTTTGCTTGACAAATAACCCGTAAGTGTCTTCCTAATGCTAACTTTCCCTTTCAGTAATTATGTAATAATAACTCAGTGGGAGTAGAGAAGGCTTTTGCATCCATGAGCAGGCATTGTACCTCTCCCCCTTCTCCCACTGGATCTGATAAGTGAGCGTTTATGTCTCAGTGCCTGGGCTTCTTGCTGAGTCACAATGATTTTGAGCCAAGGAGAAATTCTGTTGCTTTGAATTCTGGGTAGATGATGTGTTCACTTGGGGTAGTATGCCTACATTTTCTTCTATCCTTCTTTATTTGCCTTTTCATTAAGAGTGCTGGAGATAAACTTTTTAGGTTGGCATTATCCACCTGATAGTCAATGATCCAAAACTCTTGTAACTCCTGAGGAGGCTATCCCATTAGCAGATGTATAATATTAGAGCTATTGTATTGTAATTTTCTGAATAGGATCTGAACCACGTAGTAGTTTTCATTGTGCCCCTTTCAATGGCATGATGACGTGTAGAGTTATGATTGTACTTTCAGACAATTTAATCCAACCTAATTGATGTATGTACTACTTGTAGAGATAGCTGCTTTGCTATCTTGTCTTCAACTTTTATAAAATCTCAATATATCTAACCATGTCCGCAACACCAAATAGAATATTCAAACCCAACCTGAAAAAACAAAAGTAGATCCCAGGTTCATTATCTCCTACTCCAATATGTGTCTATGATCCAACTTACCAAATATTAAACATCTTCAAAATCAATTCCAACTGTCATTGATTGCCAAATGATGCATTGCTGCCACCACCATTTTATTTAAATTTAAATAATAGCAATAAAAGTACTCAGATGTTCATTTCAAATCAATTATGTTATCTGTATTTTTTGACAATTTAGAATATTGAGTTTGCTCAGTAATTAAAAGTAAACTGCATATTTGTTTGTCTTAATATTTCCTGACACAATGCAATTGAATTTTTCAGCTGGTCTTACCGATTTGAGTACACTACAAATAAGTCATAATAAACTGACAAAACTGGATGATATTTTACATTTGATAGAATGCACCAATATCAGTGTGCTAGACCTATCTCACAATCATCTAGAAGACCCAGAAATTGTGGAAGAAGTCTTTGCCAAAATGCCATCTTTGGTTTGTATCAAATTTTTCATTACTTTCTTATAGATATATATAATTCTCTCTCTCTCTCTCTCTCTCTATATATATATATATATATATATATATATATATATATATATATATATATATATAGAGAGAGAGAGAGAGAGATAGAGAGAGAATTATATCATTGTTTTATTAAAATATTTTAGTTTTACCTCCTCTAATAATGGGGGAAAAAAGAGTAACAACAACAGTGACATACATAACACAGGTAGAGAATTATAAATAAATTTATGGCAAAAAAAAACTGGGCACACACAATGTTAGTGCATTTTGTACTAAAAATATGAAATTTTAGTTCAATAATAAGATGATGAAATAAGGAAAAGATGATTACATTCATGTACATTGTAAAAAAGGAAAACATTTTCTTTCCATTATTTACATTATTCAGACTGTTATCCTCATCTTCAGTGTCATATTCACAACATTTTGGCCGTTGTATGCTGCAGCCTTCTTCAGGTGAATGGAATTTAGAACTGAACCCTTTATTTCATCCACTGGGGTAGATTGTTCTAGTTCCACGTGCCATGCCTCTTCCAGATGTCTCAGTTATTTCCCTTTCTCCAAGTTTTTGGGTTAAAGGCTTTGGTTAGATCCAGGGACTAGACCCAAAGAGTTGTGAGTTCAATACCAGGCTACAACAATGGTGAACCAAAAAACTTGGAAAGTTGAGTTAAAGGGAAATAACTAAGACATCTGGAAAAGGCATGGCATGTGGAACTAGAACAATCTACCCTGCTGGACAAAATAAAGGGTTCGGTTTGAAATTTGAATCATCTGAAGCATACAACAGTTGAAATGTTGTGAATATGGCAATGAAGATGAGGATAACAGTCTGAATAATGTAAATAATCATAATACCTTGTCTCAGACATATATAATGGAAATCCTTTCCATTACAAATAACTCAACATAAATCAAATTAACCTTGAGGGGCAGAAAAACACTTTCAAAGATGAACAACATTACCACGTGGATGTAAAAAAATGGGTAGATCCTGAGCACATGCAAACAAATTCATTAGTATTCAATATTATTAATTTGCATAAAAAGGGCAAATACACAAAAAGTTCCAAAGATAGAAAATAGGATAGTAAGAGAAACAATACTTCACTTCAAAAGGGGCCTTCTTATACTGCTATTGTATATGAATGATTTCTTGGGCCTTGAACTTACATCTGTGAATTTGCTTTCTCTGGAATTATTGGTAATAAAATACAAAGTTGTTCACTCATTCTTCAGGGCCATAAATTTAGGACAGGAGCAGCAATATAATAACTCATTTAAAGACAGTGATTGTCTGGTGGTGATTTCATCCTTAACATGGGTATTTCCAGAAGGGCTGGGTGTTGATTGGAGGTGAGAGTTTTTATACTCTGTTGAAATTAGATCTCTTTCTGATTCATTCTGCATGCTGGTTGGATGTGAATGTCATGTAGACAGAGAACAAAATAAAGAAGTTGTTTTCTGCACATAGACTCCATGCATCATGTCCAGTCTATGAAGCAAGTTCCAGCAGTGGCCAATTGCAGACATTCCTGCCAGACAAAGAGATGCACTTGGGGACTACCAGACCTGCTTTTTTAAGCAGATCTGGTAGTCCCCAGTGGTATTTCAGGTCTCTGAGAACTACCAGGACAGTTGCAACCTGGCAGGCCACCAACTGGCATGCATATCGCTACTGCTGCCGCTGCTGTCACCATCATTGCCACCTCTCAACATGTCAGCTCCTCTCACTGACTGTTTCCACTCCCAGGCTTGACTGGACACCTTGGCTGTCCAGCTTCAGCATGACAACAACTGGTCTCCCGACTCTTAACGCTCATATCCTCTGCATTGGCAAAGTCAGATTCATAACTTCTTCTGACTACTAATGCTCTCATCCTCATATTCAGATTCATAGCTTTGCTAACTACTCCAGGATAATACCTCAGCAACCCAACACCATCAACTCAGCGTAACCAACATGTACAAGGCATTCCCTTGCAGTTATCACTGCAGCCCTGTTGCACTGCACAGGCCTACTGAATCTGCAATCAAGCTATCCTGCAAGCAGTGACTCTGACTCCACAAACACGCATGACCCAATGCCATCACCTCGGTATAACCAACACATAAACCGACCATACCCTGTCAACTCCTAGCTTTTCTTTTAGCCCTGATTACCATCTGGACAACACATCAGAAATGGACATTCCACCTATTTTGTGATAACTCTTTGACACCATGTATATACTAACAATAAAGTTGTTCAAATTTTAATCCTTGTTATTCCTTTCTCTTGCAACCAAATGCTTAATATAACAGAGTCATAATGTCATTAACATTCAGACTGCCAGAATGAGTCATGTCATCTCATCAAAAATGTTGAAGGGTGAAGAAAATTGTGACATCAACGAAATTCCTTCAATAGAAGCTTTGAGTCACATTTTCTGAACCTGGAAATTCCACAGCAGTAATATAGTTTGAAAATCAATAAAAATATTTTCTCAAACCTTATAATATATTATAAGGTTTGAGAAAAGCTCTCTGCCTTTTTATTTATTATGTAAACATTACAAATTCATCATTTATCAAAATAGCTCTTCTAAATGATTTTCTAGTGGCTTGTAAGGTACTAAAAGTATTAAAAGGGTTTTAATCATGTTTGAAAAACAGTTATGAAACACTTCTTTCCTATATCCATAAAAAAACATTTGCAATCTCTCAGATTTAATTTTTCCAAATATATTTTAGAATAATTTCTAGTTGCTAGCATTAGTGGATAAAGAAAATAGAAATTTTATGTCAATCATTTTCAAATCAAGAACAAACAAGAAATTAAGCATACAACAATATGTATGTTGTATAATAAAACTTGATAATTATGTTACTGTTTTAAATGAACAAATTAATATGGAAAAAGTTTATGAAAAAATTAAATGAAAAATGAAATTTGCTGTCTTTAAAATTGTTTATTTCATGAGAAACAGATAATAAATATTTCCAGGCAAACAAAGCTATAGTTTGACCAAAAAGTCAGAAAGCCTTCACAATGAGGATGTAAGAAAAGAAATAAACAAATAATGAGACCAAAATTTCACCATCTCTAAAAAAAAGTTCAACCAATGTTTCAGAAAGCTCTCATGAGAAACAAGCAGCCTATAGATCTATAGATGTGTATATAAACAGATGGAAAATCAACCAAAATAAATTAATTTTGTCCATTCTTCGATGATGCAGTCATCGTAACATACCCAGAGACAAAATACAACATTTGCATGACTAGCTGGTGACCTTAGATGGTTAACACATTCTTGCTACATTGAAAACCAACATACTTTCCTTCACCACATGATCAAGTGGTGGCTACTACATTTGGATACATACATATATTTATTTACTTCCTCCCTGACTCTTTCTATCTTTCGTATATGTCAGGATTTTTACACGTGAATGTTTGATTCTTCAACTTTCACCTTATCCTTCTGTATTATATTGTGTTATATAAAGATTTATTTTGTATTTTTTTAACACTTTTAATTTTCAAAAGATGCTGATTGTACAACTCAGGATTTTTTTTTCTCACAATGCCATCAATAAGCAATTGTTTTGAGTTTATATATTAAAATAAGTTTTTGGTTTAGGAAACACTTCAGTTAATATTTTTTATTTTTATTCTACAGGGAGTTTTGTACCTCATGGGGAATCCTGTCATAAAGAAAATAAAAAACTACCGCAAATACCTAATTATTTCTATAGTAAGTAAATAACTTTTTTCATTCTGGATTTATGAACATAGGCTGGTTTTAATTACCACAGGTACATTTATAATATGTAAATGAAATCAGCACAAAATCAGTCCATTATGAATGGGGATCCTTGAAAAAATTATAATTTTTTTTCAATAAATATTAATTTGTTATTTTGGTGTATATAAGGGGCCCTAAATAAAGTTCTTGGCCCAAACTGCTTCCCAAAATCTGAGCAAATGACTAAACTAATAGAAGATTAGCTTTGGGCGGCAAATCATTATCAATGGAGAAGTTATACACAACATTGTAAAAATGCTTTGTATACTAGCTCAAAAACAATTCCTACATGATCTTCACCTTCTTGTTTGACTTCAATAGACAGGTAATTGTAACTTATTTAAGCCTTTCAAGGCATTTATAAACAAATATTCTATTCTTGGTAGCTTTAAGTCTTTGTCCAGACTTTTCTTCATGCCAGTAAAAGTCCTTTTCCAATATAACCCTGTCACAATTTCACTGGAAATAAGATCCTTGATATTTTCATCATTCTGTATAATGATTTTTAATTCTGTAGAGAATGCTTTAGCTGCCTCAGCAGTTACCATAACATTATGACATTTAGTGTGTCACTTATAGCCTGTAAATGTTTCATCTTTATCCTTTCTTCATATCCAATTCATCAAAATTTAACTTTGCTTTATCACAATAGTTTAACTCAATGGAATACTTTTTTTAGTTCAAATCATCTGTCCACAGTGTTGATAACTTATAAATCATATGTTCCACGAATTTACCACAAGAATAAATCACTTTTATTCTGGTAGTTTGCTTTATTGATTTTTTTAAATTTTCTCTTCCTTTTTCATATTCATCATTACAGTCAACAGAAACAAACTGATAACACTACAAAAACTAAGTTGGCTGCCAGCAACAATGAATTATTTGATTTTATCTTCTAAAGTTATAAATTAGCATGATTTTTTTTACAATGTGAGCATTTGAATTCACTAATTTCCTCTTATTCTTTTATTTTACACTAACTTTATATTGGTAATAAAATATCATATGGACAATAAATCATTTAGAATATTGGGTAAATAAATATTGCTCATAATCATCATTAAATCAGAAAATATCATTTGAAGTAGTGAAATAAATTGATAAATGAATAATCACTTGTTACTGTATAAGAATTGTTAGGATATAACAGGTAGCACCTCAAAACAAAGGACAATGTACAATGAGAATGATATGTCAGCAAAATGAAAATATTACATTTGTAAATGCTCAGCTTAGCTCTTCACTGATTGGTCAGAATTGCACCAGTAGTGCCATCAGCAGTAAAAATATGAAATACAGCCACATTTATGCAAATTTTAAAATCTTTTTTTGAAAAATGATATTTTTTTAAATTTGGAATTTCAAACCAATATTATTGACAATTGGTGTAAAACCAGGGCAGCTAGTATGACTTCAAAATTCTATTTAGTTTTTGTTGTAAGATAAAGTTAAATTTGGTTTTGACTTAGTGGTAGCGCTATGCTTCTAGGCTTATTAACCTCCATGAATCACTGGAACTGTGTCCAGAATAACTGAAATACTTTGTCATTAATATTTGTTGCATAACACATTGAAAATTTTTTTGTATTTATGATAATTTAAAAAAAACTACCTAACAAGAGTTTATAAAGTATAAAAAGAAAAAAGTGTATTATTTAAATTATTTATTATTTAAATATTAAGAAATAGCAACAAAATCATTGAAGTAGAATATTAAATACATCCCAATTTTAGTCTTAAAGATATAGGCTAATAAAGTAGAAAGAAAAAAGCATACAAAATTACTTCATTATTTTTCATGAATGTGAGGAAAGAGAACATCAAACATTTTTGAATCTGATATCGTTATCATAAGTGTTTAAAATTATAATAGCATACTTAATTTGTATATATATGTAGATATCCTAACTGCTATTAATCACAGAATCAGTTAGGCACTAGACAACAAATACATCTAAAGGATGATCACATTAGATATTTGAAAGGCCTTTGAATAGTTGTGGCATAAAGGATCACTGCACCAACTCTCTAACTATGGAACTACTGGAAGAGTCTTCTCAATTATAAAGTCCTTCCTAACAGAAAAGTGATAAAGTTTGTTTTAGTTTTTTTTCCTTTTGGTGGTTGTTATTTGAAGTACAAAAGATGCAGTCCTGCAGATGTTTCCTGTCTTAAAAATTGTGCATAATTAACAACTTAAATTTTATTTCAGAAAACACTGAAGTATTTGGATGATAGACCAGTATTCCCCAAAGACCGTGCCCTTGCAGAAGCTTGGTAAATATTAGCTGAAACAGTTTTATTAAAGATTTAATTTGATAGAAATCATAATTCAAGACATTCAATTAATGCAAATTAATTCATTTTTAAGCAATCAGTTAGCAAGACATTTTTCTTAAAGAGATACATCAACAACTCTAAAAACAAACATTATTATTTTATAAAAGACTATGTAAAGTAAAAAAGAGAAAAAATTAATTATATATAGTATTTTTGAAGACAGTTTACAAAATATGGTATTTATATTTTATTCTTTGTTAAGATACTACATGATTTTTAGTTTGAGTTTATACTTTTCAGCTCAAATCTACAATTTATGAAAGGAAAATTCAAATAAATATGTTTAATGAATGAAAAATATCTCCAATCTTGCCTTCATCAATTTTAATCTTTGTCTTTCGTTGAAAATATAGTTAAGTGAAAGGAAAATTGAAAATGATAACAGTCTTAAAACCTAAATAAATGGTTGATTTCTTGTTTACTAATTTCTTTGTGTTTTTACATCATTTTATTACTTTGAATAAACTGAAAACCTCATTGCAAGTGTCATACATTATTTATTATATAAAGCATGGAATTGAATGTATATATTTAGGGAAATTGGTGGTGTTGAAGCAGAAACAGCAGAACGCAAAGCTTGGGCTGAAAAAGAAAGGAAAAAGATTCAAGACAGTGTTGATGGTTAGTAGAGATTCTATTTTATCATAAAAATAATCACTGTAAGGATATATATGCCTTCTTTTGTAAAGATATTCAAAAGTCATATGATAAAAATAAAAGTTTTTTAAAAATTGTAACATTGCATGCCAAGCTATGTGCTAGATAGTAGAGTAGATTGGGTTCTATAGTCTTGGGTGGCTACCAAACCAAGAGAAGAAAAGCTCTGAATTCCAAACTGTGGAGAAAGCAAAAGGAAACTACTATCTTTCTCAAGAATGAATGATAATCCATAGATAATGAAGAAACATAATCTGTGGATTGCCTATGTCTTGAGGGGGCATTAAAAAATCTATATGCAAACTTGTATTTTGCAAACCAAGATATAAGTGGTAAGAATTAATTATTGCAAATTTTTCCCTTTGGAATATATCATTGTTATTTGATTACCTTTAATCTCTTTCCAATAGAATTAAAATTATTTTGTAACTAAAGTATTCTTTTTAGATTATATTAATATTTTAGAGAATAAAAATGAAATGGTAAACAGCTTAAAAATGTTGTAATTTCAGCTCTTCAGAAAATCAGGAAAAAAGCTGAAGCTCAACGAATTCAAAAAAGACTTGATGAAGAAAGAAAAGAAAGAAATGATGAAGATAACAAAGTTGAGGTGGTAATTGAAGAGAGTATTGACTGGTTGTATGGTACATATGAAACTAAGTGGGTAAATAAAGACAGCCTTGATGTCGAGAAGAAAGATGAAGAAAAGCCCATTGTTCCAGAAGAAGATAAAGAAGAAGAAGAAGAACATAAAAAAGAAGAAAACAAAAAAGAAAAAGAAGAGAATTCTGAAAAGAATGAACTGTATATTCTTGAAGAACCTGAGTCTTCTGCAGTTGACATTTTGAACCAAGCAATTAATGATGAACAAACAAAATCCCCAAAACAGCAGCAGCACATAGAAAAGGTAAATTTTATAATAGGATTATTTCAGTTAAGGTTTCTAAAATGGTGGTATTGTGAAAAGGGTCAAGTTTTATTTGGACAATGCTCTTATCTAAATTAATTAGTGAATTCCTGATATTGTGAAGACTAATTAACAATAATAATTGAAGGGACACTCCAATTACTGTAATTTTAGAAAAATGTTAAAGTAAAAATATATTAGGGATATATTATTTTAAGTAGATTTTTATTGCTTGGAAAGCAACTATGTTTTCAGTATCTTTTATGAAAAACTGCTCATGAGTTTATTATTTATTTATTAGTTTGTTTTGTTGAAATGAAGTAAACATATTTTAGCAGATCTTATTCTTAGTCTGCTTATTTTGGAATTCTGTGAAAAAAAGGAGCAAATTCAACATGATATTAATTTTTCTCTTGATAAAATAGGTTCATGTAGTTTTTCTTATTGTTATCTAATTGAATTCCATGCTCAAAATTTACTTAACAAATAATGGGCTAAGAAGTCTGTTTGACAAACTTTTGTCATCCTTATTCTGATGATTTCTATCAATAATAGGGATTACATAATACAAAGGCTAGGTAGCTTTGAATAAAATAGTTTGGGGTGAGTAATATTTTCTGATGCATATTATTGAAACATTAGTAAAGTAAGTTTTATTTTGCTCAGTAAACGTATTATTTGGTAAACGTATTTGGCTAAGAACAGTTTCTCCCATGACACCACTTTTTTAACTACCTTCACTATTTGGCAATGTTCATTGTTTTAAAAAGTAATGATTAGAATTGGATAAAAACTAAACATAATGAAAGTCAATTTATACATTTTTGTGACACCCACCGGTGGTCACGGTCACAGTCCAGCACCAATATGTGATGTCCACTGGTCACGACGTCAATATATGACACTGCGCCATCGGCCCATGGTCAACTCCCAGTTGTGGCGCGAAGCTGTAAGGTTTCTTCCACCAGCGTTTTGGGGTTGACTCATTGTCGCTGCCACCAGCCTGTGTCCCGGTCAATCTGGTAGTTCCCAGTTCGATACCAACTTGTCATTCCCAGCTCACTTCCAACGTCTGGTTACCGAATTAACTACTTTGATCTCAAGTCTAACCTACCCATGTTGTGATTTTGATCTTAGGTAGATGAAATCAATCAGGCGTTGGGCCGTAGTGCAAGCTGAATCCGGGGTAAAGGTGATACCGCACAAGCGTAAGTAAAAGAAAATAATAAAAATCATGAGGTGCAAATATGTTGAGAAATAACAACTAACTTTATCTATCTGTTGAATACAGGAGTGTGTTTCTCTCCCGTCCTGTTTCTATTGATTTGTGACACTTTTTGCATTTCTTAAGCGAATTATGGTATCTTAAGTCATTCTTCAATAAAAACTTGCTTTTGGTAGGAAGACTAAGTCGAAAAGGATGTGGAAATCTTTTGGTTAGCTTCTGCGAGGCAACACTCTGACTCTGTAACTCTGACCATGTCTGGCTGAAAAACTTTTGAAACTCTGATCAGCTGCCTCGAGACGTTTGTTTATATGGACACTGACCAACTCCAGTGTGGGGGCCTGTCGTGGTTTGGGTTCATTGACAATTCTTAATTCCCAATTCTCTTTGTTCTTAGGCCAGGAAAATTAGTTACTTCTCATTTTTGGAAGATTAATCACTTTCCACTTCGGTGTTCCTCCCTCGTTCGTGAGGGAAGGTCGGAGGAGAGTTATCCTCCTAGACTCTTCTCTCTCACATTGGTATCTCATACTAATCCCCTCAATGGGTGTTAACAACTTCTCTGTCTTTCTCATACATTCACCTCTGCCTATCACCCATGCTACCAGTTAGCCAATGATCTCTCGACAGTGTGTGTGTGTGGCTAGACTGGCCCTCTTAGAATTATTATTGAAAATTTTGTTTACAAAATCCTTTTTTTCATTTCTTTTTCCTTTTCCTTTGGCCAAAACATTTACAATTTCCAGATTGCCAATTAGTTCTTTATCACATCCCAAATTCATTTTAGCTCGGACCTGTATTGACTCATTAATCACTGTCAAAAAACCCAATATCTGGGTTCTCTGCTGGTCAATCCTTCAACTGAGTGGCTGTGCCCACCTGACAATTAAATTCTTTATTTTTTTTCTCATGTCTTAAAATTCTCTTATCACCAGATGCTCATTTTTGGGTCAACAGTTTGAATAATGATCCCCTTTTCAACTCTCTTTTTTTCATGTCAAGATTCGTACATAGACCAGATGGCTTCCCTCGCTGGAATCAGGAATTAAAGTCAAATTATATCTCTGAAAGATAATCAATGGCCACTCTCCAGGGTGGTCCCAAGCCAAATTTCCTCCACGGTCGCATGCATCGACCGGCTTTGTTTCTCTTTTAGAATTCTGTTTCGTTAGACGCGTCACTCCCTTATCACGACATTAATTAATTTCGCAGAATCACAGTCTTGCTCCTTCTTACTGATTTTCTGTCTTTTGCAAAAAGTATCTTTGTTTTATAAATAAAATAAATTCTTCTTTTTAATGTCGCTCAGTCTATCTTTCAGTTTAGCTCTTTCTTGCCTTAAGTATTTCCCATTTTGTAATTTCTATGGTTAATTATTTAACCAATTACCATAGCTAAATAGTGTCACATTTTTATCATTTTTGAGAATTTGCAACAAAAATATTAAACACTATTTATTTATTAGATTGTTTATTTACAAGAATAATTTTATATTTTCAGCATTCCAAAAAGTAATACAATTAGAACTAATACAATGCAATATTTATCATTTACCAATTTATAAAGAAATAAATATGAGAACAATGTTTTATTCATAAATTTATAAACATTTATTAAATTTCTAAAATGTGAACCAACTATAAAGAAATCTTTATTATTTACCATTTTATAAAGTTTTAATCAATTGGTAATTAGCCAATGTTTTACCAACCATTCCAATAAATAAATAGTGTAAATAAACACTCTAATAAATAAATAGTGTTTATTATTTTTGTTGTCAATTCTCAAGAACAAAGAAAATGTATAAATTCCCTTTCATATGTTTAGGTTTTATTAAAATTCTAATCATCACTTTTGAAAACAATAAACATTGCCAAAGAGTGAAGGAAGTTAAAAGAATAGCAGTGTCATCAGAAAAAACTGTCCTTTTGACACACTATCTTATTATGGATATGTTTCTCCATGTTTTCCAATTATTTATTTTATTTCTCTACAGGAAATGACTCATGATTGAGTTGTCCTTGAAAGAAAGTTTTCCAAACCTCAGTCAGTAATTAATGATGATTAATATTCACTTGATATTCTATAATATTCATCTGTCTTTCATACATACATCATCATCATCCTCCTTCAAACTCCCTATGGTTGGTTGGAACTCCATTGACAATCCCTTTCTACACTGTTCAGTCCTGCATTGTTGTCCCCAGATCCCCAATATCCAACCCTTGACATAGGAGTAAGGATGAGACGATTTCCCTGTCTGCTTGGTGGCAGTGGCTGGCAAACTATAATTGTTTTTTATGACCTTGAGAAATTGGTCTCAGTTCTCAGTGTTAAGCATTGTATAGGATCTCCAACTGATGTTCTGAATTTTTCTAAGTCGATTTGTATATGTTCCATCCAGTTGTCTTTCAAGACAAGCAGATAATGTCTAAGTTTCTGATCCATACAGTAGGACTGGTTCAATCAGTGTTTGAAAAGTTTGAACTTTTAAGGTTTGAGTACCAAATCTTATTAAGTTTCTTACACGCATCCCATGCAAGAGCTTTGCAGATGTTGAAGATGTTTTGGGAATCTATTATGTGAAATCCAAAATATTTGAAGTCCTCAACTCTTTTGATGGATGTATTATTGAGTGACATCAATTTGGATGGTTTTGTTAACTTTTCTACTGTTTTAACGTTAACATTACTTGCAACTGTTTTTATTACATCCCAGAGATTTTTGTTTAAATATTTTTTCATTTTCATAAAAATTTCTTCCGAGGATGGACCACAAGTTTTCTCTTTGTGATGTTTACTTAGAAGTGTTAGTTTGGTTGGTTTTATGCCAATTAATTTAATATATATATTTTATCTCTCATGTGATGTCACATTTGTGCTAGTGCACAATAGAATTTTGATAGCATACAAGGTGTTAAACAGCAGCTCTTCCCAATGTATAATAGGGTGTTTGTGGTTTTTAACTGGTAGTTGTATAATCTTCCATATAATCCCATTATAATATTCACATAAATTGTTACACTGGAGATTATATGGTATGGTTTGACTCAGAGTCACATACTTCTCAATTAAGAATTGCTTCAACTGTCCTGATATAAAGGCTGTTCTGGTCAATGTGGATATATGCTGGTGCCTATAAATTCAGAATAAGGAGCAGAGACATTATATAACAGTTTTAGCTGAAACATTAGTGCAGGGAAAAGCAAATGAAAACCTGGAGTATTTGTCTGTGACCATTAGAAAATTTCTATTTCTAGTTTTACTTGGTAGCAGCCCCTTGAAATTTAGTCAAGCCTTTGAAAGGGTTGCATGGCTTTCACAAGAGTTCCAGGTCTGTCAGATGTTTGTAATCATCTTGACATCCTTGATGAAGAACAGTAGATATCAACTATGGACCACATACAGCATTCTAGTGATCCCAGGGTGACACAGATGTTAATGTTTTGTTTCTGTTGATCTTATACATTTCTTATGAACCATAGCCATCTTTATATATCTGAAATTAAAAAATAAATCTGAATAACTAAACTATCATATTTGTTTATTTACAAGTTACATAAAATCTTAAACTGCCAAATAAGCTATTATTAAATATTTCTAATAAAAACAAACAACCTAAGATCACAGGGTATATTTATTATATAAATTGTAATGATATGAATTGGTTAATTCCAGTTTTATTTTTAAAATATTGATTTGTGTAATAAAATCTGACAGTATACGTACGATAATGAAAATATTGAATTCAATGTATCATTCAAGGAATATCAGAACGATGCATTCAACATAGATGTGATTGACTTACGTAACAGTAGCCTGACATCTTCCAAGGAAAATGAGAGCATCTTTAATTTAGGTAAGTTAGAGAAGCAACTGTAATTTATGTAGTCTTAGCATTTATTGTATTACATTAGTATTATGTAATTTACTAATTAGAATATTTTGTGAAAAATTTAATTCTTTTTAAAAATAATCTTATAGTATACAGATAAGAATTTGATCTATGTACCAAAATTTTGGTTAAGCAGTGATCATTTTTTTCTTTATTTGGGATTTAAGCTTAATGAGGGTTGATGTGATTTTAAATTTTAGACTTTTTAAATATTTTCTATGTCTGAAAAAAATACAGTTTGAATCAAAAGTTCCTGCCATTTGTCCTATTGGTACGCAAAAACATAAATACCTTGTTTAAAGAATATGGCATCAAGCAACTGGAGCCATCCTTGCACTGCCACAATAACAGCATAATATTTGTGGAACCATTTACTGGATAAATGCTATTTGAGGAGTTCAAACAGATGATAATTTGAAGGAGCCATCAGGACTATATTCAGTGGATGCAGTAAAACATTCCAAATATATATTACTGGAGTTTGTAAGGTTGACTGGCATTGTTGTGAATCAGAATGACACTCTTATGTGAATTCCCTAGTCACTTTTGACAAACAACTTTCCTTACTTTATCCAGTGTTTCATGATACCTGACTTAATATTGTATGGTCAGACATATATATTGTATTCATATTGTATGGTCAGACAACTGTTTGACCATACAATATGAATTCCATAAACATCACATTTTGCATCCAAGAACACATTTTCCATGAATGTATTTGCTAACTGCCGAACTTTCAATTGGGGAAATGGATAATGACAAAGTATGCTTCTTATTCTTAGGATAATGTGATGCACCTAGGTCTCATTGCTGTTGCAGACGTGTAAGGGTGGCACCACATTCTTCTTGTGTACTGAAAGGACAAATGCATTGGTCTGAGATATGCACAATGTTTCATTAGTACCTTTCTGTTCAGACATCTATTTTATAAAAATACTGGAAAATGTTCTTTAATATCTTTCTTTTTATGTGACATAGAAAAAATATCTGTAATATTCTAATATTTAAAGCAAAACAAATTAGGTTGACAGGTTTCTAGGAACAATGTTAACTTGTACCATCATGTGTCAGTTCAAACTGTTGTTTGAGATTAAATCATAGAACAATCTACATAGAGCTGGCAATAGTAATAGCTTAGTAAAGTCAAATTATGACTATAAATCAAGAGATTGTCTTGTGCCTTGTTGATGTCCATGGACAAGTTTAGTTTCACTGGGAATTGAAGTTACTTGAATTCAAAGAGTAAGTATGAAGGAATAATTAAGATTCTGGGAATTAATTTATCTTTCTCTTTACCTACCTCAGTATAGTTAGCTTAATGACATGTAGGAGAAGCTGCTTAACAGAACTGTACCACTTGACTTATATAGTTGAACTTCTCTAATGATCTGGTGCAACAGCTTTTGAGTTTTTCTCCTTTGATTGCATCATTCTTTGGAGCAAGTATGTCTTGCTTTCAGAGTCACTGGTAGTTTCTGTGACAGCTAAAAAAATCAAATTTAATCTTGAAAATTTTACAAATATTTTTGTCTGAGAACATTTTTCAGGGTTGCACAATATTTTGCAAACAAAACAAGAAAATATAATGTTTTTGTTTAATTTAGTGAAAAAATTACTAGGTTGAAAAAAAGGCTTGGAAATCAATACCACTTTTCTTGTCCTCTACCTAAGTTACATTTATGTACTAATTTAGTGCTAAGAATGATGTTGTTTAAATGCAATAGAAGCCATAAAGGCCACCAACTAATTCTACCTCCAATGCTTTTCTTTGAGTTTGAATTGAACCATATCATTTGTGACCATTTGTGAGATCAAAAAACATTTTTGTACTTAATAGCAAAATCAGTATTCTAGTCCATTTGGCTAGAGATGACAGACTTTGACTGATCTTTGATGTCAATTTTCATAGTCTATGTCACTGGTTGTCTTTATGTAAACACGGCACATTAAATATCTCAATTCATTTTGTTAGAAATTGTATAATTTAGCTATAAATAACATATTGTGATTTTTAATATATTCTAGTGACTTAAGATAATCTCTGTGGTTAATTTATCATATTCTCTTTTATTACTTGAGAGTTATCCTTGTAAAAAACTGGGTCCCTGAGACATTTTGCCTTTGTGATGTATGAACATAAACACTCATACAAATTTCAGTATAGTTATCCATGTTAATTTTAAAAATTGATTGTTAAGACAATAACATTTGTTCTAGTTTAAAACATTTCCTTCTTTTTAATAAGTTTATGCTTATTGATTCTTGGACTAGAATTCAAACAGGCTATTGACTGTATGTCTGCATGAGCATACATTTGCTTTTTTAATTTCTTTATCATATGAATCATTTCTTTTAGAAAAATAAATTATTCATTTTTTGTTTAATTATTAGCAAAAGTTTGTTTATTTATTCCAGCAACTTCTCATAATCTTTTAGAGTGTGAAAACTTTAAAAGTTCTATGTTGAAAATAAGAAACATAGAAAGTAAGTATATTTTTTCATTACTTTATCTTGCTAGAATCATTCCCCAATACTGTACTACATAGAAGAGCAGTTGTACAATGACATTGTTTATTACACACTGATTTATTTGAACTGTTGTCCTCATTTTCTTTTGGATGGGAAGAGTGTATAGTTACAATATTTCAGCCATTGTACTCTGGTTTTCTTGAGGTACCTGACATAGTTTGGTACTGTTCTTCAAATTTTTAACCAAACCTTTTATTTAATACGTTGTATCCATGCTAGGGAATATCTTGTACTGTGTTGCCACTTCTACTCATTCCTCTGGACCAGAGTATATAGACTTCACTGGATTGAACTCACAGCCACCAGATAAACTGCACACTTAACAGCTAATGATGATATCCACTAGGTCAGTGTCTCAAAGAGCAATCAGGTAGTGTAATCTTGGATTCTGCAAACCTAATGTTTGTTTTTTTTCTAATCCAAAGCTCCTATGTAGTGTTCAATTCTATGTTAGGCCTATTGGGGAGGTTATCGGAACCTATAATATAAATTAATTCTTTTCAATTATTTTATTCCCATTCTATCTATTATGACTTCATATTCTCTCCACAAGTTCTTGTTTTTTATATTCTTTTAGCCTTACTTTTAAAGTGGCCTTCCTCATCTTTACATTCCCAGTAACAATTGCATGTTTTTGGCCATGTTCTTATTTGATTGGCTCTGGACAGGTATTTCCAAAAGATAGAACTGCTTTTGAATAATTTCCTGATGTCGTATGAACTGCAGATTCTCTGAATGCTTTTTGATGCAACTTTGATGTAAAGTAGAAAAATCATATCAGTTTTCATACTCTTGTCATTTACTCTTATATCTCTGCTTGTAGAATCTGATGCTATTCTTGTTTCTTGTTATTCTGAAGGGCATTCCTAATACTGATCATCTCTTGTTGGTATGTGTCTAGATCAACACATGAGATTGGTTCACCTTTGTAGACAATGTACTATCCTTTTCTTCATAGTGTATAGATGATAGGAATTTAGATATCATCTTGTGAATGTTGCCTTACAACATACTGATATCATAGACTCTCACTTTGTGAAAGTTATTAGTACATCAAAGAAGACTAGTTTTCCATTGTAAACTGTACTGAAGCTCACTTGTATGTCTTCCTGGTGTGGCTAAAGAATGAAGGTGTTAGCCATCTATCTCAGCTTCAACACTGTTGTTCTTAAAGCCATCTTCTGAAAGTATTCCATGTATATATTTTCATCACTAGTTCTTTCATTTAATATATGTCAGACTCCAACTGAAAACATGTTGTCTGTACACAGAATGACAAGATCTCCATTTGACTGTTTATCATATACTGATAACAGTCAGATTACATTTTATTCCAAACCACTGATAAGGCCTCATCTTTGGAAACATTGGAATGAATGGAAGCATCTCTAATTGTCTCTACAAAGGGGATAGAGTACTTTATATATGATGGTTAGTAAGGAATCTTCTTAATGGGTGACATGCTGAGCCCCAACAAATGACTATAAGATTTAATGGAATATTGTCTGTGAATACTGGGGAAATTAATACTGTATTATTCATTCAATTGTCTGTATTCAGTGAATATGAAAGGATTTTTGTTCCTCTGATAGTGTTTTTTCATCCTGTTGGTTTTCAAGGTTAGATCCTTCAGTAGCTATAGATATGAATGTCATAAATAAGAGATGGACTACGACACTCCTTTATGATACCGTATTTGTTTACGGCCCCTTCTCCGGATTACGACAGTCAGCCATATTCGAGAATACCAGGAGCATGGCAGAACTGGCATACCATATTCACCAACTATTTAGATGATTACAAAGGCAGAATGCCCAAAAAACTATGTGCATTGATTAGCTGCGTAAGTCCTACAGCTTTCGAATTCATTGAATCCTGCGAAGATATCGAATTGGCACTAAATCGACTGAAAATAGAACCTTCAATACTCTAATAGATTCTTGTGCTTCTGAAAATTTTATCAGCAAAAAAGTGGTAGATTTATTGTCTGTGAGGATTTTTCCCTTGTCTAAAAGAGTAACTATGGCCCAGAGAAGTATTTATAGTCGGTCTAATGGATTTGTAGTAGTCGATTTTAAGTTGAGTCTTAATGATAAATTATATATTTCCATTCATTTGACTATCATGAAGGACCTCTGTTGTGATGTTGTTCTTGGACAGGAATTTCAATCCCGGAATCTTAAGGTCACGTTTGAATAGGGCTGTTATTTACTGGAACTTGTTGTGAAAGGCACGGGTGCCTGTTTTGCTCTGGAAGCTGCTGATATAGCTGAACCAACTTTGTTCCCAGGGATTTCAGCTAAATGCAAACCGATTTCTACTAAATCAAGATGTTTTAGTAAAGAAGACTGATTTTATTGCTCTGGAAGATAGGATTATTGAACCCAGTATTTCTCCGTGGCATGCACAATTAGTAGTGGTTAAGTATGAAGCTAAAATACACAAAAAACGATTATATGTGGACTATTCTCAAACCATAAATTCCACACAGAATTAGATGCTTTTCCATTACCAATAATTTTCGATCTGGTTGTAAATCTTGCCAGGTATAAATACTTTTCAACTTTTGATCTAAAAAGTGCCTACCAAGCTCAAACAATCTGACAGGAAATGTACTGCTTTTGAAGCAAATGGCCAACTTTTTCAGTTTACCTGTCTCCCATTTGGGGTAACTAATGGTGTCCCTGCTTTCCAACATGCTATGAATGAAATTGTAAAAGAAGAAAATCTGACTGATACATTTCCCTATCTTGATAATGTGATAATTGTGGGTGAAACAGAAGAGGAACATGATAACTGCAGTGATATGCAAATTAGTATAATTTGCATATGAGCAGGTAGCTCATATGATAAATGGACACCAACTAGAACAGAGGTCGAATGCTTACTTAGCAATATACACGACACAACAATGGCGTCGCCGATAGGATACTCTTTGGTCCTTGAAGACCCAGAGTACGTAGATACGTGGATTCGTTGCTTTGCTGCTAATGCAAGATGTAAAAAGTTGAAAGACAACAAAAACAGAGGAGGGGAAAATGAAATCACCGACTTGTTCATGGCTACCGCTGGTTGTGAAGCGATTATGAAGGTTGCTACAATGGTTTACCCTCGAGAACTAAAAGAAATGACTTTCGAAGAAATAAGTCAGGTTATTAAGGGAAACAATGCAAAGAAAAGACTGGTGATTGCAGAAAGGACCAAGTTTATGGCAATGAAGCAGAAGTGGATGAACCGATAGTAAAATATTTACACCGGTTAAGAAGTGCGAGTAAATACTGTAAATTCGAAAAACTAGGAACAGAAGAGCAGACAATGGAAGAAGAATTAATCCAACTAAGATTAATTGAAGGTATGCATAATTCAGCACATAGATATAAGTTAATGGAACAGTTACAACTTACAAACATGCCTTTGAATATGTGTATAGAATTTATACAACAGCAGGAATTAATACATACCTACAACCAAAATAAAAATAAATCCTACGAAGAAATAATGGCTGAAACATATACGGTACAAACAAAAAAAAAAAAATTGTGTGTGTACTGTGGAAAAAAATCACGAAATGAAAAAGAAAAATGTCCAGCCTTTGGAAAGACGTGTTCAAAGTGTTTAAAAAAAATCACTTCAAAGAAGTATGTAAAACGAAAAATGTGGAAAGAGTAGAGGATGAAAATAGACAGATTTTAATGTAAAAAGGATAATATACAAAATACTGGATCTAAGAACGGAGATACAAAAATAAAAGTGAAAATCAACGACTGTATTGTCAAAATGCAAATCGACACGGGTAGTGAGGTCACGATATTACCCAGAAATTTGTGGGAAAAATGGGAAAACCGTTTTAAAAAAAACCAATGTACAATTACGTCAGTTTGATGGCTCGATTATAGCAATTATGGGTTACTTTGAAGGTTCAATAGAACTAAAAAGAAAATATGAAATAGTACCCATTATAGTTACAAATTGCCGAAAAATGCATGGACTATTGGGAATGATGTGTATTTAAAAATAAATTCAATGAAGTTGATTAATGAGATAGAAATAGAAAAAACAGGAAAATTAAAAATTATGAAGCTAGCCTGAAGTTAAAAGAAAATGTTTCCCCCCCTCCTACTACGAAGCGAGAAAAATACCAGTGCATTTATTACCGTTGGTAATATCTAAATTAAAGCTAATAAAGGAAGACTTATTAGAACCTGCCTCCAGGAGGAAGTAAATGGGCATCACCATTGTGGTGAAAAAAAAAAAAGAATTTGTGGAGATTATAAAATAGGGGTGAACCATAAAGTTTGTGCTGACTCGTACCCTATTCCGAATGTGGAAGTAGCTTTACATAAACTTGCTGGAATGAAAGTATTTTCGAAGATAGACCTAAAATCAGCTTACCACCAAATACCGATAAATGAAAATTTTAAAGAAGTGATGACCATAAACTCACCTATAGGCCTGTTAAGGTGGAAAAGAATGCCGTATGGCATAAAAACGGCAAGTGCAATTTTTCAAAAAGCTATTGAAAAAGTAATAGGAAATGTTGAAAATACCATCTGTTATCAAAACGGGATAATATGTAATGGAGACTTGGTAGTTCACCCAGAAACACAGAGGAGACAGGTAGAAAGTGTACATGATGACGTACATTGTGGAGATTAAAATTGGGCGTGGTGGCAGGTACTCAAGAGACGTAGAGGACTACGTAAGAAAGATGCAAAAATGCACAGAAGTCAGGAATTTTAAGCAAAAGAAAATACATGTATGGCCCCGAGAAGTAGAACCATGGAGCAGAGTACACATGGACCATGCCTATGTCAATGGGATAGGACTATTATTAATATTAGTAGACGCATATTCAGGTTGGCCTGAAGTGGTGAGAGTACCTGATAAAAAAGTACCACCGTCAAACAAATATTAAGAGTAATATTTTCGAGGAATGGGACACTGAGAACATTGGTGACTGATAACGCACCAGAATTTGTGGATGCTGATTTGCATGAATGGCTAAGAAAAATAGGATGCAGACCTTACAAGACCCCTCCCTACCACCCTCAAAGTAATGGGACAGTGGAAAGGATGGTCCAGACGGTAGATGCTTTTCTACCAAGACTACTATTAAGTTACAGAACAATTCCACATGCAGGCAGGCCGGAAAGTCCATCTGCCTTAATGGGCAGACAATTAAGGTCCCCTTTGACTATGTCATATGCCACAAATCAAAAGATGTGGTACAAAAGAAATAGGAATATGCAACCCGAGTCAGCCGAATTTATTACGCAGAAAGTACATAATACTGCAATATTAAATAAAGAAAATGGGAACAGTGTTCTAGCTCATGCTGACCAAATAAGATCCCAAGGAGAAGAATCGGATGAGGAAATGCCTTCAGAGATGCCCATTATTGACGTAACAGAAGAGTTAATGCAGAATGAAACTGCGGAGGAAGAAGTAGAGAGGGATGAGTTAGAAGAGGAAGAAGTAGAATGGGACAAGTTAGAAGAGAAAGACCACAGTATGCAAGAGGAACAGTTCGATTATAGGGAAAGACGTGATAGATCTAGATCTCCAAGGGAAAGGAGAGAGATAAAGGAAGATGTTCAGGAGGGCACAAGAAGAAGTACAAGAAGTACTTGCGGGATAAGGCCCCTCCGTTATAGGGAGATGTAGTGAGATGCAAATTAGTATAATTTGCATATGAGCAGGTAGCTCATATGATAAATGGACACCAACTAGAACAGAGGTCGAATGCTTACTTAGCAATATACACGACACAACAATAACAATGTGGAAAATTTTATGAGGGTAGTGAGGAAAAGACACTTGACGTTGAACAATTCCAAAACCATAAAGAAAGTAACTACGTTAAACATCTTAGGGTATTGTGTAGGGAATGGAAAGATAAAGCCTGACCTTGAACGAATGAAGCCATTACAGGAACTACCACCACCATGAACAGTCTGAAGAGAATCAGGGGAATGTTTGCTTACTATGCTAAGTGGATCCCTGAATTCTCAGAAAAAATTCAACCCTTAGTGAAAGCGGGTCAGTTCCCATTGGAAGAGAAGGCATTTAAGGCATTTTATACATTGAAATCAGAACTGTGTAGAGTGACATTATGGGCTATTAATGAGAACCTACCCCTTCAGTTAGATTGTGATGCTTCGGGCTATGCTGTATCTGTCGTACTTAGACAAAACAGAAGGCCCATAGCATTCATGTCAAGATCACTCCATGCAAATGAAAAGGAATATAGCATTATTGAGAAGGAAGCTCTAGCCATAATAGAGGCCATATAAAAATAGGAGCATCTCTTGTCTCCACATCACTTCAAACAATACACAGATGTAAGGTCTGTAGCATTTATGTATGATAACAGGAAATGCACTAAAGTAAAGAGTGCAAAAATCAATGAGTGGAGAATGGAACTCGGCGAATTATACTTCGACACTGAATATCAACCGGGAAGAAACAATGTAGCTGCGGACACTTTCAGTTGCACTTATTGTGCATCATTAAGTTGCCAAATCTCGGTTCTGGTGGAATTACATGAAAAAATATGCCATCCAGGTGTCTCAAGACTTTTATATTTTGGGCGGTCAAGAAATCTCCTCTTTTCAACTGAAGATGTCAAGAAAACCTGTGCATCCTGCGGGATTTGTGCAGAACTCAAACCCCGATTCTATTGATCAACTGAAGGTACATTGATAAAGGCCACTGGTCCGATGTAAAGGATCAGTATTGATTTTAAGGGGCCCTTCCCAACGGCTTCTCGTAATTCACATTTGTTAGTCATTGTTGATGAATATTCATGATTTCCATTCTTATATTCCTGTCCAGACATGCAAACTTCCAGTCATAATGTGCTTGGAACTCCTTTTTAGTATGACTGGAATACCAGACTACATACATTCAGATAGAGGCCGTTCTTTTATATCCCAGGAGCTAAAGGAATATTTACTTAGTAAAGGGGTTGCTACCAGTAATTTGACACCCTATCACCCAGAGGGTAATGGTCAAGCTGAATGGTATGTAGGGGTTGTCTGGAAAACAATCCAATTGGCACTTAAGTCACTCAAGCTACTGCAGGTTCTTCATTCTGTGTGGTCCCTGTTATGTACTACAACAAAATGTATACCATATGAATGTTTTTTTAAATTTCAGAGATGCACAACCCATGGAAACTCTCTGCCATCTTGGTTGATGAATCCGGGGCTGGTGTTGTTGCGACAATTCATTCATACTACCAAGAATGACCCCTTAGTAAACCTGATCGATAGTAATCAATCATTTGCATGCATCAGATATCCAGATGGGAGAGAATCAACTGTGTCAGTTCAAGACTTGGCCCCAGAACCTGCTGGCTCTGAGACATTTTCATCCCAGCAGATGTCTCAGCAGTCCTCTGAGGAGATCCTTTCCAAACTGTTGAGCTGCTAACCATACAAAATGAGCCTTTAATGAACCCCAGGTAGTGACGCTGATACAGTAGACCATGATTTATTATTTAGAGAGATTGTGCAAACACTACGGAGGTCAGGTCATGTGGCAGTGCCCCCAAAAAGGTATGGTTGGGACTAAAATAAGTACTCCCTTCCAGTTGGGAAGGATGTTGTAAATAAGAGATGGATTACGACACTCCTTTACGACACCGTATTATTTTACGGCCCCTTCTCCAGATTACGACAGTTAGCCATATTCAAGAATACCAGGAGTACATGTGATGTGAACCCTGCTTGTATTTTGCTGAATAAAGCTTGGATGAACTTATCTTCCGAGTCTCAGTCTTCATTCTTGACAATGACAATTTTTATTTTTTTTAGAACTTGTCCACCCCTGTTGCATTGCTTTTGTCTTTTGTCACTTTGATGATGCTAGTATCACTTTACAGGGTTCTGATAGCCATTCTATTCACTCTTGTGATGTTTGACTTGAGAAACCTGGCTTTCTCTAGTTCCTGTTGCACTTTTCATATAAACTCATCATCAGCCTGTGTTTTGAAAATTTTCAAGCCTGTCTCCTCTATTGGGGTTATCACATCCAAGTGTAGAACTGACTTCATGGTTACAAAATTGTGACTTTTGCTTAGCAGCAGAATTGATATTATTCCTTAGATTAAATGAGATAAGCCTTTCAAACTGAAACTAAAATTAACCCTCTGTAAAGCAATTTTATATTAATTTTATTATTAAATATTGGAAGCCTGATCATGTTTAATGTATGTTCAAATAATGTTGAATTTTGGCAATCCAAATATTAATTACCTAAATTCCAAATGATCTTAGTAGTGTCTGCATTCACCGTATGACTTTGTCCTGAGTACATATCTGCTTCAAGTGATAGAGCCTATTTCTGTTCCCATGTCTGTGAAGAGAAAGCAAACACTATTGACAATCAGATGAAAAAAGAAATTGATAGTGATCATAGTGACAAAGGTAGCAAAGGCTGCATAAAGAGTATGACATTGGAAAGCTACAGTGTCCGATTTCAAGAAAGCAGAGTTAATGATAGAGAAATTTACTAACCAAAGTAACACTTTATGTGCATTAAAAAAGAAATTCTATAAAGACAGCAAAAGATAAACAATTCAAATAAGCTGTATTTTTATGTCTTTTTTTACAATAACATGCAAAAAGGATTCCTATCTGTAGTCCAATGTTTCAAGTAAAAGTTATCAGTTTCCATAAATAGTACCTGTCAGAGAAGCCCAAGTGTCCTGTCACAGCATAACATCTGGCTGGTTAAGGCATTTCAAAGATTGTTAGATAACATTGTTTTTTTGATGAGAGGTTTATAGATGATGGAATTGTGGAGAAATTCAGACAGAAACTACAAACCCATTGTTCATGCTATGAGAAAATTATAGAATTTTGAAAATGCTTGTTAAAAGTGATTGTTTTGGTGTGCATTGCCAAAAAAAATAAAATCATTTCATTTAATTTTTAAACAATATTAATTCAATTAAATTCTTTTATAGTTTTATTTTGAAAACTTAGCTGTTAGTTATCTATCTTTGCTTTCTACACTCTTGATTTCTGTCTTTTCCAGCTGAAAACAATGTATTAGAAAACTCTGATGTAGTTGACAATGTAAGTATTTGAAACAAATTTCTAGACTTTGTTTTAACTTAAAGACAAATGTTTCAGAGGGACAGTATGCATGTTAATTGATAAATCTAAAGCTTTAAAAACATCTGTAAAAATTTAATTACTAAATTTAAGTTCTTTTCAGTACACTAAAACAATATATATTTTTTAACTTATATATATATCCATGCATATATGAAAGTAGGGAAAGAACTCAAAAGTTGGATTCAAGAGACAAGAGATAAGATAAGTAGTTGATGGTTCTTTTGATTTCTTTATACTTTGAGAATAATTTCAAAGGTATACTAATGTGAAGAAGGAGTTTATAGGACCAATTAGGGTCCTTTCAACCAGAGCTAGCAGCTAATAAGCTCTACCACCCTTGAGAGTTCCTTGATTGTCTGACAAAAGGTCTAAGCATTTTTAGTCTAACCAAGAAGGGATTTTAAAAAATTTGATGTTTGGTCTTTGGTTAATTTTGTGGAAATGAGTGAGCTAAGAACATTTCAGCACTCCATTCTGTTTGAGAAAACAAGAATTTTAACATAGCATTAACATATCATTAAAGTGACAAAGAACAATTCATAGTCTTTGATTTTATGCAAAGAAACAACAAATACAGAAAAATAATTTTTACACAATGCTTAGACCCTTTGTCAGACAATCAAGCAACTCTCAAGAGTAGTAGTAGTAGTAGAAGAAGAAAAAGAAGATATTAGGAAGAATAAGAGACAAATAGGGAAAATGTACATATGTTAATTAAAATAGAGGTATAAAGAAATAGTCTCCTTTATATTCAGTTAATATCACTGTCAGTCTTGAGAAAAGCCAGCTTGACATGTAAATCTTATTTTTTGCTTTGTTTTATTCACTTATTTTTTTCTAGCTAATTTCTAAACAGTTCCAAAGTTACTTTCTGTTTGATGGTTTTGTGGCCTAATCCACTGAGAAATTTCAAGAGAAGGTGATGCATCATAAGCACTGCTAGGGAGCCATGCTTGTATAAATAGCATCAACTAGTTTAGAAAATACCAGGTTTTATTTTATTTTTATTTATTATTTCTGTGGAATAATTGGCTATGGTTAAGTGTAATTGACAAAATTCTCAACAAGTGGAATTGACAAAATTCTCAACAAGTGGAATTGACAAAATTCTCAACAAGTGGAATTGACAAAGTTCTCAATAAACCCCACACCCAAGGCCACAAAGCCTCATTAAACTGAGTCTGTCCATCAGATCATCATGAATGCCTCTGCTTCTAACCAGCACACAATATAATGGCTTCTGAGACAACACTCAGATGTCAGAGAGGCTTTCCATAGCCTGTTATATGACCTTCAGAGCATTGTCAACACTCCCCCTCACCTTTGTGTGCATTTCTTAAAGCCGGAAAAGCTTTCTTCAGAAGTTACCATTACCCACATTTTGCAAACAAGATTTTGATCCAGGACCTACATAAAAGATGGATTCAAAAGTGAAAGTATGGACTGAAGCAAGCCAATGTGAGAACAGCCTCAGTAAAATGATGGTCAACCTTATCGAATGCCTTGGACTGATCTAAATAGATCAGCACAGCTTCATTGTCCACTTCCTCTATGATCAAATGTACCAGATTCATCTTGGATAGTCCTACCCTTCACAGCATAAGTCTGTTCAGGGCAAGACAGCCTGCCAAGATGTTGGCTGAAATCTTTAATTCTGTAATTAAGGGCTGAAAATAGCTAATCCCATTCACGTCATGTTTGTTTTTGCACAGCAACTTGATCACACCTCTAGTGAATTGTTCAGGAATATTCTTGGTCTTCGTCCATCAGTTAAAAATCAGTATCAGCAAAGGTACAAATATGGAAGACTGCTTCAATACACTTTGTTGGGAAAGCCATAGATGCCCAGAATCTTATCCCTGCTGACAAGCTTCAACACATCTTCTATTATAGGTCTCTCACACCCAGCCACTTCCATCTCCTTGAGACAAGGAAAGTCAGCTAAATAGGTATTGAACTGATAAAAATCAAATCAAATCAGAAAGCCTCATGCTGTTACTTGTGGTTACAATATGCCTATCTGACAATGTGACACTAGCAATGTGTTAAATTTTTTCTATTTGCAATTCAGCAGCCATATCTGTTGCCTTTTTAACCTAACCCTAATTACCAGAGCTTGGTTTTTTTTGATAAGCAAGGAGGCTAGCTCTGCTCTAGCTACCACTATTTCCCCACTATCTCTCAAGTTTATAGCAGGAGAAAAAAAAAATGATGATGAGAGGGGGTCAAAAAGTGCAGTGTGTCTTTTTCTTCTTTGGTCGCCTCAAGTAAATAAATTGCATGACTCCCTTTCTCAGCCATTACACTGGGCAGTTGTGAAACAGACACCAACTCAGCCGTGCATACTTCGACTTCCTCTTTGTCAACTCTTTTACACACAGTCCGCTGAATGACTCCCTGACACTTGGTGCAGGTGCCACCCCACTTTTTATGCTATTCCAAGACGGCCAAAATTTGCATGTGTGCAAATATAGTCTCGTTCTTGCTTTTCTTCATTGCATCAAACCATCGCTGTGGTACTCTTGTCAGTCGATCAGTTATATTCAGAGCTGATTGGACCAGTGTCTTGTCCATGGTCAGCTGATACTCTTCCACAAGCTCCTTGAGAGTATTCAGTCGCCTCCTGATGAGCATTTCATTTGCTACCTTGGTGTACAATCATGCTCTACAGTCAGAATATCCAATACCCAGTGGTACACGCAAATGGAATCTGTTTTCACGTGTAGCATCTTGCTTTGCCACTGGAGTGCCAAATTGATGCCTTTCAACACAGCATCCAGCTTGGCCAGGTTGATATGTTGAGCATCGTCTTTAGGTCACAGCCAGCAAGCATCCTTCAGCACTGTTTTGTGACTGATTGCCAGGGAACTGGCATCGATCCACACGTTCACTTCCCAGCCATCCACAAACCAATCCCCACAGACTGCATCGCCTTGCTGCACAGAAGCCAAAGTCTCGGACACCATGCGCTGGAGGAGGTTATCCTTTGTTTCATGGTCCCAGTCCTTCATAACTGAACTTGCTCTCCTCTTGAGCATTCTGCAGGCCACATGGAGCCAACCACACACTGGAAAGTGCCCAACAAGCCTTCCATACAGAGAGAACACCTTCTGTTGTGTGATACCAGGAGCATTAGGAACCATGCTTCCTTGCCTCCACTGCAATTTACCTTGTTCCATCGCGACCGCCAAACCTAGTACCCATGTGCCATCCTCCAACCGATCTGGGTCCTTGCATTCCAGCCCAAACCAGGCCAGATGTTCTTTAACATGGGTCACGGGAACAACATCTTCATTGATATAGATGTCATTGATGTAAGCGGATGCTGCGCGACCCACAGTTTCTTCCTGAGCCAGCACCGTGCTAATGATTTCCTTCATGATGAGGAGAGCCATGTTTAATCTGAATCCTAAATGTCTCAGGCAATATCTTTTTCCATCAATTTTCACGGTCTCTCCTGAGATCCAACAAAGACATGTTGAATCCCTTCTGCTGCCATTCATACAGTTTAGCTGCACAGACGTCTGCATTGGCTGTGAAAGCATCAATGTGATGGTTGAGCTCCTGGAAGCCCATCATGGGACATACTTTAGAATTGTTCTGCTCTAGCATGGCCATCAGGGGAATTAGCCCTTTGGGAGGCCCCAGTTTTTCTTCTGGGTACAACATGAGCCAGCCGCTGCTCATCCAAGTGTGGAGCTCCTGCTCATAGTCCTCTCTGATCTCTGCTGCTACTGGGTACTCAGAAACCCCATTGTGCACCCTTTCAGGTGTGCGGTCTTCTGACCACTTCCATGCTGCAGTCCAGGATTGCCTCCGATGGTCGAAGGTGACAGTGAAGTCTGGTTCATCAACAGTAATGGCTGCACACTTAGCTGCTCACCCATTACCAATCTGTACTTGTCTGGTTGGCCCAACAGCAATGTCTCCCAATGCTGTTATGGCATCAATCCCCAATAGCAGAACAAATCCCAGCAGTTTACCATGCACCACCAACACGTTAATCTTGGCAGGACTGCCTTCCTCTATGGATGTGTTTACCACTTCTACATGGGTGGGACATGCCTCCAATAGTCATAACGTCCACCGTCACTCTCTTCCAAGACTGGCACCAATCTGCATCCACAATCGTCTGTGAACAGCCAGTATCAATCAGCGATGAACACCAAGTTCTGTCAACAAGGATGTTTGCCACCGGGAGTGCTGTATTTACATCTTGGTTGGGGAAAAGGCTGGTGCTGATGCCTTGTCCCCTGTAGCGTTTCCCGAACAGTCTCGAGCCCAGTGTCCAACCTCCCCACATCGATAGCTGCATATTCTGTGCTTCTGGCAGTCTTTTGCTATGTGACCTTTGCTGCTGCACTTGAAGCAAGTCACACTGGTGATTGGGCCACTCTTGGTGGGAGACACATCATCACTACGGGGTGGGCGCACAGCCGCAATTACGTCCTGGCTTTCACCCCTGTTGTTGTTAGCACTCTCGCTCTTACTATAACTCACCCACAGTCAGAGCTTCAACATTTGGTGCCTGTCGGAGTTCAATGGAGATCATATCAGGGAACCCCAGGACGAAGGCTAGTTTGGTGAGCCTTTCCATCTCGGCTCCCTCGAACTCGGCCACTCCAACAAGCTGCCTGATTTTGTTCGCATAGACATCCACATGTTTGCCGGTTCACCTGACTACGATCTGTTTTCTGTATGCTAAAAATGCATCATCCGTAAATGCCTCCTTCAGCCTGACTTCGATCTGATCAATGCCTCTCTGATCTTTCTCCTCGATTTCCATGTAGAGGGCTAGTGCATCTCTCTCCAGGTACAATGGCAGCAGGCTAGCCACATCATCCACCTGCTGAAGTCTTGCCACCAGTCTGACCTTTTTTAGCCACGCTACCATCGCCCTAGCCAGAAAATGGTTTTATAACGTCACTGCTTATCGCCATACCTGCCAAAATAGCTTGTAGGAGAAAAAAAAATGATGATTGGGTGGGGGTCAAAAAGTGCAGTGTGTCACTTGCCGGCAGGCCAGCTATTTTTTTTCTTCTTCGGTCACCTCAAGGGAATGAATTGCGTGACTCCCTTTCTCAGCCGTTACACTGGGCAGTTGTGAAACAGACACCAACTCAGCCGCACATACTTCGACTTCCACTTTGTCTGTCAATCTGTACGTACAACTCTATTACACGCAGTCCGCCAAATGACTCCCTGACCCTTGGTGCAGCTGGCACCCTGCTTTTTATGCTATTCCAAGATGGCCAAAATTTGCATGTGTGCAAATATCGTCTCGTTTTGGATGAGATAGGCGCGTATAAATTGTGTCTCACTTTGCAGGCAAGACACATTCGCACTCATTTCGAATTCTGAGGTAAGTCATGACTTTGATCACATTTTAGCTTTCTTTAATCTAGTGTGCACTGTTATCTACTAGAATCAGCACCAGATGACCTAATAATGGCCTTAAGATGACCCAACCATGGCACCTGTCAGTTGCTTCTGTAAAAACTGGCCCTGAAAATTCTTCTCATTGAGCAATGATGTTTTGAATTTCCAGTAACCAGCCATAATAACTGTAGCCTTATCTAAGTTTACATGAATCCAGACTAGCCTCTAGTTTGAAGAAACTTTTGAGTGGAAACTTGGACAGCCTAAGAGACCTCCTAACTAAAACTTGGTTGATGTAGCTAGTATGCAACACTGATGCCAAGTTGCCCCTATTAGTTCAAGTTCATACTATGTCACAACGCAGCTCATTTCAGAACTTAATAACAAGATCCAACCTGCAAAGTGGTTGTTATTAGTCAATCTAATCCCAGTTCAATTTATATTGGGATCAAGGACAGATTTCTAGTCTCCTGTTAGAACTACTGGATGTGATGTCATCAGAAACAGATTGATCTGCCGAAAAAAGTCAGATTATTCCCTGGAGTTAGATGATACATAAACCTCAATGAAATGAAATACCTTATCATTTATGGCAACATCCCAAACACAAATTCTATCCATCTGATCCACAAAGACAAATGTACAGGCCTCCTTTAAAGTATAGTTTACTGTCCAAGAAACTCCTTTCAAACAGCCAGCATTATGGGGTTTCTTGTAAAACACAAACATCCTCACCAAATTGCAGAATATCGCAAATGAGTCTTGCCTTTCAAGACACAATAACTTGATAATGGCACAATTATTAAAATAGAATACAAATAATTAAAACAAAAACAAAGAAACAAAATGTAAAACCAAACAAGTCTGGCCAAATAAACAAAAATGCAAAAGAAGAAATAATGAAAAGAAAAACTGATGGAAAAGAAAGGTGTACTTGTAAAAATAAAATGACATAAAAGCTTTTATTTTAAATTTCAATGTCTTGTATAACACAATGCTACACCAAAAGAAAAAAAATGGCCTAAGCCAATAAAAGAAAACAAAATTGAAATAAAATCAGCTGAAAATTAATAAACACAAGTCAACACAATTGAATATAAATAAAAAAAAACTTGTCAAAAAAATGGTTTGAAAAGGTAGCAAAAGTTTATCAAAAATTCTATATATAACAACTCGTAACAAAAATTCAACAACACAGTCCAAGAAAGACAAAAATGTGGTCATGAGGCTGAGAGTTGTCCATTAGGTTAGGAAGAAATCTCAGCATGCATCTGTAGGATTTGTATATAAATTTTGGCAGAGGAGATTTCTAGCAGTTACTCCCATTTGGTTGGAGTGTCATCAGGTCTTTCATATTACTCCTTGATTCAGTGACTGTTCATGGCCAAAGAAGATATTGTATTAGTGTAGGAGGTTGCATCAGATCCACTCTGTGGGTGGTTTGGTTTGTTAGCAGCCGAGTGACACGCTTTCTGGTCCTGAGTTTTTGCTTACCTGATGATTGATCTGGAATCTCTCAATGATGTGGCTTTTGGAGTGGGTTTTGCAGTGTGATCATGGTTTAGAGGAAATGGCTGGGTACACCTTTTTTCATTGTTTGCTGGTGCACCTGTTCTGGGATTATGTCAGTGAGTTGATGGTGTGTATCAAGCTTGAAATCACATGTCCATTGATCTTGCGTAGGTGTCCAATTATGTGTCACCCCGCATAGTTTAGAATGAAATGGTTGGTATTTCTAAGGTTAGAATGCTGTTGTGCGTGATACAAATGGAGGAATTCTTATGGGATGAACACTATTCTCATCAGTATCTGATTGGATTCTTTGGGCATCAGAACAGGATGAAGATCAGAACTGATAGAAAGTGTTTGCTCTTGGCAAATTTCAGTGAAAGGTAGGTGCAATTTGTAAGCCTGGCTCATGTGAATTGGGCCAATCTTGATTTTCTTTTTTAGTCCCCTCAAGATGCAATGGCGTGGATTCCTGATGGACCCCATCTTGTGTTAAGCAGAATTCATTTTGTTCACCTCGTTAATGTCATTGACTCCTGTACCAGGCCTGGTACAGGAGTCAATTCTTTTTCATTTTGGCCCTTGTCAAGATTCCCAATCTCTCCAGTTTTTTATCCCCTTTTTATCTTGACTCGATCAGCCTTTTATATTTTCCCACTTCAAAAATTAATTTTGTGTCTCCCTCACCTTTAGTGAGCGAGCTTCATGATTCTGCTTATTGGCAGAATACAGTGGCTGTTCTTATTTTTTGTGGGATGGATGGATCTTACTAACACAGTTTAATTTTAGTTTTAATGTTTTGTTTTGCTTTTTATTTTGTTATTGGGTTCATCTCCTCCTCCTTCATGTCATATGTAAATTTTGAAAAAAAAAAAAACATCTGTGAAAAAAAATTGCATTTGTGTAACAATATTTAGCATGACCGAACGGAAGAAATTGCATTAGTTTATACTATTGATTATTAGAGACCAAACGGAAGAAAATTATATTAGGTGATGTTCTATTCTGTTTCCAATATGAACAGAAAAAAAAAAAAAAAGAAAAAAAGAAGACGATATGTTTTTTTTAATGAAAGGAGTTATAATTGAACTGGAATTAGGTGCAGGTAAAATTATCACAAGAGTCATGGTATTCTCAAAGTAAAACAGTAATATCGGATGAGGTTGTGGGGGGTCAATCAACTGTTGACGACAGCTATGAAACAGGACTGTTTAATCAAGGAGGAAGCATTTTCCAGCTGTGGATTGTAAACCAAAAAAATGTGTCAACACAGAACTATGGATGCCCTCTGACCCCCAATGGAATGAGTTGGAAGTGAATTTTGTTAACAGGATTTAAACAGGCCAGGTAGTTTGGAAATTCTAAATTTGCACAAAACCAAAACGCATTTATAAAGTGTGTCATAAGGAATATTCGGTTATCTATGGCAGGTTCAAAGGTTATGCTAATTGGTGAAATATGGAAAAAAAAAAAACTGAATTTTCCTGGGAAACTAATTTGGTATTTTGGAAAGAAAGAAAAGAGCCGAGAAAAGGAGTGACGTCATGAAGACGACACTATCCCATTGGCTGTGTCACAAGGGAAGAAGACGAAAAGAATGATGCCATAGAAATAATGCTATCTCATTGGCTGTGTCATGAGGGAAGAAGACAGAAAGAAATGAAGCCGTAATTTCATTGGCTAACAAGGGTCTGAGATGATTGTTCGCATAGACACCCCAGTGACCGTTGTCCCCATCCCAGTAAAGGATGGACAAGCATAAATACAGAGCCTCAAGGGGGTAACAAGAGTGCAGTTGCAGTACAGTTGAGTTGCAGTTCAGTTAGAGCCGGAGAATAGCCAAGGAGTGAGGCTTGAGGTACCAACACCACCGCCCGCCAACCTCCGCAACAATCAGAGACAGTCTTCGTCAGTTTCTGTGAGGCTTTGGAGTGAAGAAATAATGCCAACCAAGAACTCCGATCGGAGTGAAGAAATAACGCCAACCAGAAAACTTGAAAATCACCCCTTAAAAAAATTAGTCGAGACTTCCATTCCGTAGTCAGCTTGTTAGGAACAGGGGTTGGGAAGAAGACAATTGGTGATTGTACTCCGAATTCTTCTGTATATATAGACTTTCTTTTCTACAACGTACTCAGGCGTTGTTCTGTTTATATTTGGTGCCGTTTCATCTACCCAATTGTGCATCCGCGTCTAGATTGGTTCGACTTGGCGGAGAGACACCTGGCGAAAACCCATGTGGCTTCCTTGAGATCAAATTCACAGCGTGGGCAAGGGAGTTCACTGTGGGTGGAGTTGACTCAGAGACCGGCTTCTAGCTACCTGCCTCGTCGCTGTCGACGAAGAATTCATTCCGGGACAAGGGACCTTCGTGGTCTGGTTCCTGGAAGGCCGATCCAACGCCATGGGACGGTCACATTTGTACATATTCAGAATTTTTACTTCATGAGTGTTTTAGTAGCTCTTGACTAATATGTAGTATTGTTGAAAATGTTGGATTGAATGGAGAGGGAGGGGTTTTTGTGGTGAGTTTTTTGTAAAATCAATGGGTCTTGAAATCAGATTAGCTTGGTGTAGGATAGTCAGTGAAGGCTAACCTTTCCCCACTTCCCTTTTGGCCTTTTGACACAGTGTAATTTCATGTTAAATAAACATTCCCATTTGGTTGTAACCTCCTCACAATCAAATGAATGAGCACACTCATGCCCTCCAACACACATCTATGGGGTCAATAAATATAAACAAAATATATATAGATGTTTATAATTTAAAAATAAACAAAACATTCTTTAAAAAATTAAATTAAATAAAATATATAAAAAATGCGAAAACATTTTTATATTTTTTATTTAATTTAAATTTTTAAAGAATATGTTGTTTTATTTTTTAAATATTTTTTTGTAATTCACAATTTTTTTTATTTTTTATTTTTATTTTTTTTAATATATTTTTGTTAGAATGAAAAGGGTAGAGGAAAAAGAAAAAAATGGGAGCAAAAAATTCAGGTTTGTACTCATTGAGCATTAAAAAATTTCTTTAATTTTACTCTGCTGATAGGCTTTGCAAATTTTGTTTTGACAGAATCAACCAGACATAGTGTGCCACCAACTAAGAATGGTCATGAAGTTACTTCCATCTGCATATGATATGGTGATTTTCTGGATAAAAGTCATTGTTAAAATTGATAAATTTAGATTTATTGTTATTTATAAAAATTTTATTCCCTACAAAATCCAAGTTCTTGTGCCAAACACAAAATCTTAGTCTAGTAGGAATAGCAAAACATAATAGCCGAAAATTACAAAATAAAACAACCACTGCGTAAAACTTTAAAATGAAAAACATTTATTTACACAATTACAAAAAGGTACAATACAAGTTTGCACAAAAATGTCCTTTTGTGTGCCTATTAAGGCAGGATAACAATAAAAGGATTATTTGTGAAAAATGGAAAAGAAGGATTTTGAAAATGACAAAAAGAGAAAACAATAGAAGGTTGTAAAAAAACAAAGGTGCAACCACCTTTGAGAAAAAAATGAAGAGACTACTTTCACTAGTCCCATGAGCATTTCTGGGACATAGTAATGCTAAAAAATTCCCAGTTTGTGTTTGGGAAGATTTCTTAGAAATCTTTTTGTTCTTGGCTGTCCAACCACAAGAGAATTTCACTTGAACTTTTGGTCTCTCCACAGCTGGCTGGTAACTGATGCTTTCTTTCATGTTCTCTTCTTGATGTCAAAAGCCTTCTTTGATGTTGACGACCTGCCTTTTTCTCATTCTGTCAAAAGTTTTTTCCTTGTATCTACTGACCTGAGCTCTATTTTTAAAATTCTATTCACACCTGCCCCACTATTTGGAATGTTACTAGAGCTTTGAGACCATGTCTCTCATTGGTCAGCATATACAAAAAAAATAATTTTCCCTGAACTGGAAATGGATTCTTCAAAAAATTTGGCAGCTTTTAACCACTTAGCCAAAAAAGATATCCAACTGTAGCAATTTTTATTACAAACTGTCTGGCCTTCATAAAAATACACTTCTCTCAAAAGAATGTGTATTAAAAAAACAACATAGACAATTATACATTTATACAATGCTAACATTTTTAAAATAATAGAAATAAATTTTTTATATATTTTTATAGGCTGTTGGTATTTATTTTACTGTGATGATCAGAATAGTTTCAAAAACCACTTGATTCTTACTCAATATTCCACTAATGCAGCCTTGTGTTTGTTGCTGTGAGATGTATTTCAAATTTACAAATAGAGAACCATAAGCAAGAATTCAGTAGCATAATCAGAAGGTCTAAGGATAATTAAGACTTTTTCTATATTCATTAAATATGATTTTGTTGTGATATGTGATATTCATTTATCAAAAGTATACCGCTTCATAAAAAAGAAAATATATTCTTTTGAAAGAATCTATGCTAAGGGGTAAAACATTTAAGATCTGACTTAAATGAATATATTTTCGTTTTTAGAGTCTAGAAGACATAAAATCAAATGATATTTCTTCATTCACAAGCAAAATGACTCAGGAGGTAAGAAAATTATTCCTTTTTGTTGCTATGTATGAATGAAATAAAACTCATGATATAAAATTGTAACAGTGTAAAATTCAGTTAATAATACTGCAATATATTTTCACCATGGCATCTTGCAAAAAGCTTTTGAATATTATAATGTAAAAAGTTGAATATTTCAGTTTTGAATCTTGAATTAACTGGATTATCAGTGATTACAAAATAGGATAATAAGCCATGAGATTAATTTTAAACTTACAAGGAAAACTCACTAACAAATCACCATTGGAAGATACCCAAGATAATCTATTAAAAGTTGTGTTAATTTGATCTTGACTGGACAAATCCTTACCTAAAAGGAAGTGGTCTTGATGCATCAAATAATACTTGGAGTGAGTTTAAGTGAATATACAGGGTGCAATGGATAAATTGTTGTCTAAGTTACAAAAAAAAAAAATGAAAATAACACTGGCATCTAATTTTAACAGATATATTTACCAACATTACACAAAAATATCTTGAAATACTAAGAGTAAATTTTTTCCATAAAATCTTTAACCATAGCATCTAGACAACTTTGGAATCTCCTGCAACTCTTCTGGATGATCTTCTTGTTTAAGTTGGTGAATGCTACCATAATCCTTGCCTTCAGTTCATCTTTGGTGTTACAAGGAGTTTTGTTGGTCTCTCACTTAACTGCACCCCACACATAATAATCAAGAGGGTTGCAGTCTGGGGAGTTAGGTGACCAGATGTAAGCGGTGATGTGGTCACAGAAATTGTCTGGCAGACATGACTGGGTTCTCCTGCTTGTATGGAATAATGCAGAGTCCCTGTTGCTAGATATAGGGTCTTCCAGCAGCCAACCTCTTGACACAGGGAAGCAGTACCTCTTAAAGGCACTTGATATCGGCCTCCATGTTGAGTCTGAGGCCCTATGGGAAGAGGAATGGAAACATAACATTGCCATCACTAGTGATCACTGCAAACACCATGATGTTGACTGGTTATATAATCCAACTCTTTCCAAATCCTCTGCACTGTCTTCAGATTGACACCAAACACTCTGAAATGTTCATATTGGAACTTCTGGTCTGAATGCCAAGCAGTACAAATTTCTGGTGGAATGAATTGTGTCATAGTGCTCTTTTTCTCACACATGATGTCCAATTGACCCTACTATACTGTGCAGTTGACAAAATCAAAAATAAACAACGTGTATATGCAAAGTAAAAAATATAAAATGGCGACAATTTGCTCATCGCAGAAGGTGTAATAAAAATTCAACTGATTCAGCTTTAGTAACTTAATATTTGCAAAATGAAAAAGTTATGACATCTTTCCTATTTGCCATACAAAACAATTTGTTTGAGTTTTTAATGCACAATTGCAAATTGTTTATATAGCTGCATTAATTATTTGGCCACTTGGAAGGATATTATAATCTATCAAAGTACTTCTATATAAACAAATTCTCTCTATAATCTGGAACATTTTAGAGAGCAAAGTTTCAGTTTGTTATTACTATCCAGTCATTGGATAGATACCCTGCTTATTATACAAAATTATCATTTAAAATTCATTTTTTTTATCACAAGTAATGATAGAAAGCAGATGCCGATGAATTTTATAGTGTTAAACATGATTAATGGTGTGCATTAATCATATATATGATTTTTGTCCCACATTCAATTCAATTAGCATCTATTTATCTGTTTGTTTTTCCTTCTCAATCATTCTTAAATTATTTGAATTGACTTCACTCAAATTGCTATAAATTCTCTTCACTTTCTGGGCCATTTTCCAACACAGCCATCAAATAATTGATTTAGCTGACTTCCACTTTTCTGAACTGAAATCTCAGCATACAAATTTTGAAAATAATATGGCAATTAATATTTATGTATTTTATACAATAATATCTATGGTGATATCTTATTGGAAATATGGTGTTTTCAAACTTGTTTTAGTCAGTTTCTATTTATTTTTATATTATTTCTACTTAAAATAAATTTTTGATAAATTTAAATAAAATGGAACACACATAGATTCTCATATTAAAAGCATATAAAATATTACACTTGTAAAAACTAATGACTTATTAACCATTTTTCTTTGTATCGTTGTTATATATAGATATCTCCCAAGGAAAAACATAAACCGCTAATTGAAGAACTACATGATATTCAAGATAATGCTAACAATATTGATGGTAGCACAGAATTAATTACTGCAGAATCTGAGAGTAGCACTCCTTTTAATAAGAAATTACATGCTTCTGTAGCTGTCCAAGATGATAACAGTAATGATTCAACACAGAAATTATTAATTGAAGAAATTGACATCCAGGATAGCTGCTCTCAGGTTGCTGCTGAAGCCTTAAAGAAAGCAGAGGTTGAATCAAGACAGAGTTGTGATGATGAGGATCCAGACATATCAAAGAGATGGGCAGCACCCAGGGAAGTTCCTGAAGGAATCACCATCAAAAATGATCAAACTATTGAAGAGAATATCTAGAGAGAATCTCTTCAACTCTTTAAATTAATTTGTTAATGAAGAGGATACTGTGTTTTGTAAAAGTTTTTCAGTTTTGAAAACATTGTTGCTAGTACTTTGTGTATTTATAAAAAAATGAACATGAAAATAAAACATGGAAGGTAGTAGTATAACAATACTTAGTCATATGCAATAACAAATAAAATAAAATTTAGGTCATATTTTCTTAAAATATTTTTTTCAAGTTTTTAAATATTTTCAGTAAATTTAATATTAAGGAGTTGCTTAGAAGCCCTGTTGATAATTCATTATTTTTGTTTCTATCCTTGTTTAATGTATATATTAGTAGGGATACTTGGCATTGGCCTGGGAAAATAACTTCAGATAACAACACAGGAAAATATATTCTTTAATATATTTCTTCTTACATAACAAGAAAAAAATTGTTACTGAAAAAATATTCTTACAAAACAAATGAAGCAATCATTTAATTTTACAGGGCTTCTGGGCATACAATATCAGTGCTTCTTCCATTGGGGGACTGTATAAAAAGTTGTTTGGGGACCCAACCCTAGAACAATCTGCATAGAACTAGCCATATAAAAAGAATAAAGATCCAAATGGACCAGGGATCTTGAGAGATTGTCTTGTGCCTTGTTGATGTCCATGGACAAGTTTAGATTCACTGGGAATTGAAGTTACTTGAATTCAAAGGGTAAGTATGAAGGAATAATGAAGATTCTGGGAATTAATTTAAATTATTGTTTTATTAACCTCAGTATAGTTAAGCTTAATAACATGTAGGAAGAATCTTGCTTAACAGAACTGTACCACTTGACTTATATAGTTGAACTTCTCTAATGATCTATGTCAATTTTTGAGTTTTTTCATTTGATTGCATTTGTACTTAATAGCAAAACCAATATTCCAGTTCATTTGGCTAGAAATGGCAGGGATGTTGATTAATCTCTGATGTCATTTATCATAGCCTATGTCATATGGATCTTGTCATCTGTGCATGGTTGCAGCACTAAAGTTTCCATAAAAATATCCCATCTTGCAATATTAATAGCAGGAACTGCAGACTGCTTAGAAGAATAATTTCAAAAATTAAAATAAATTGTTCAATAGAAAGAATGAATTCCTAGGAAAATGCAGATCTTAATAAACACCTACTTTGTTATATAAAATCAGATTTATAGATTAATATAAACTATAAAGTAAAAACATTTACTCTACATTTGCTATTTATTCAAATTGAATATTATAGTTTTAGTTATCTTTTGAGTGCTTTTTGGTAGAAGTTCTGCTGGCCTGAAAAATAACATTAAATTCTTTTCAAATTTTCCAACTAAGACTACATCAGTGAAACAATGACAGTTTTGCTAAAACTTGTGAGAAATTAAATTCTTATATATGTAATTTTAAGAAGGTTTGTCTTAAATTATTGGTCATACCTATATAATTTTACATGGGGGAATCAATAATATCAATGAAACCTCACTTCACTCTTATTTTAATACAATTGTTATCTTTTTTAAACAAACTTAGTTATCTTTTGTCTAACAAGTTATCAGCCATGCCACATGGTAAACAGCTGTCAGTGTTTGAGAAAGAATAGATTATTGTGCTAAAGGAAGAATGGTTGAGTCATAGAAGAATAGTGTCGTAACTTAGGTGTTCAAAGACTGCAGTTACCAACTTCCATAGCACTTGGCCTAATGCTGCCAGATATCAAAATCTTATCCAGTGCCATGATTCCTTATGCAGAAAAAATTGCTGGTTCTAACTGGAACTTTCAACAAGGTAATACTTAATCAAGCAGGTATAAAGCACAACCTAATGGTCTCAACCACAACATTGATGCTATAAGTTAGGCAGTATATACCCTTGACTTCAATCCAATTGAGAACATGTGGGGTATCCTTGCTAGTAAAATGTATGAAGGTGGGTGGATACTATACATTTGTGTTGGGTGAAAGAAGTTCACTTGGTTTAATTTGGTTTGTTTTACAGCACATCAACATTTTCCAGGATATTTAAAACTGAATTCTATCATTTTGATGAGTAAAAAAGGTAGACAAAGGTCTGTTTTGTACAAGAGTCAAAAAGGTAGACATAGGTACAGTAAACAAGTATCCCATTTTTGTGGGGTCTACCACTTTACATGAGCATTCAGATAGCAGGGTTATGCTGATTTCAGTTTTGGCATTTTATGTCACCTAGATAAAGATTTAAATGGCCTTTGAGCTGTGCATTTGATTTAATTCTCAATGCTTGGGTTTTTTATCTCTTCTTCCTATATTGCTCTCCATACTCTCAAAATTTTATTTATTCGTGACAAAAAATACAAATTCTGGCACGAGGCCAATAAAGGGGAGGGGTAAAGGCATGGTCAAATATTATCTTATTGTTAGAATAATCAGATAATTTGAAACCCAGGTACATTACATTTTACTCATTCACCAAAAGAACTAGTGTCCATCACCAAACAATCCTTCAACCATCATAATACCATCTTCTCAAGGGAGACCTACTAAAATGTGCCCCATGCCATAAAAATTTTAATGATGATATATATATACAATTCTAATAATGATAAAATCAAGAGGGCGGAAATGAACCCAATAATAAACTTAAAATAAACACAAATAAAAACTAAACATAAAAAAATGTTAGTAGGGATTTCCAACCCATAAAAACAGAGAGATTTTATGTATTCTGCCCTGGGGACAAAATCAAGAGATGCTTCTTCTAAGGGAAACAAAAAAATATAAAATATTAGGCTGGAATGGGAAAATATAAAACTGATTATAGTCGAGATGAAAAGAAATCTATCAAAACAAACTGGGAGGTTGGGAATCTCGACTTGGATCATAACCAAAGAACGGCCGGGATGCAGACCAGGAACAACATTTTATTCACATTAACTAGGTAAATTTTGATCCATGTCTATATTAACCAAGGGAGGGTTCCACAGAAGCCATTTTGATGTGCAATAGGTTGACCTAGAAGAGAAAATCAAGGCTGTTTTTGTTCAAATCCAAAATGCATCTTTTTACCCACCTTTCGCTAAAGAATTGAAGAATTTTTTGAAAGTCAAATCTAATCTTCATCTTGAAAAGATGCAAAAAGAATTGTAATTAGATGGAAAAATGAGAAAGAACAGTTGTCTCCCAAATCGTCCAAATCACCATGGGCTTGCTTTTTCATATTCCCCAGAAACACCATGATTTTGGAGTTGAATACGCCAATACATTATTGTCAATCATCAGCATTTACCATGATCAATGGAAACAAATTGTTTGGGAAGCAGAGACGAGTGTCAGTTTCAATCCGACAATATTATCCCAAAGGCGATTATGGGGGCAATTTTTTTTTTGTTATATTTAATTTTAAAGTTAAATGTTATAGCCAAGGCCACACCGTTCACAGTCTGCAAATCCGCCATTTACATTTATGAAAGCTTTTGTTTTAAGAGGTTTAAAATTCAGGGAATTTTTTTCCCTTATAATTTTTCAGGGTTACTTGAATAAAATTTAGTTTGGGCTCAAAACCATTGAAATAAATTTGCACCTCCTCCCGACAATTCAAAAGCATATCTTGTAGGGGATCCATAAATGGAAATGATCCACTAATTTTTTTTCATATATTTTGATCCTAGGCCAAAAAAGGAAAGGTCACTGGTGGGGAACGCCCTCAAGGCCGACCGACAATTTATGAAAAAACAGATTGATCCCGGGTTCAGAACTTTTGTGTTATTGTTTAAGGGGGGTCTGAGTTGTAAGGCCAGATTTATCCGTTAAACAACCTCCCCTCCAGAATCGGATCTCCTCCAGTTTTTTTAAGGTGGGAAACCTTTATAGATCACGGATATGACTTCTGCAGGTACCTAGCATTCCCAGAAAAAATGACACGGACGTTTTGTGCAGACTTATTGTTGATTGATTTCAGCTCCCCTCCATATTTTTCATAAATTGCAAACACCGCACCTTCTTGTGGGTCTTACAGATATAGAATTTATGGACAATCGATAAAGAATCATATATTTTGTATGCACACATTGCCATGTTAAATGTCCCTATGATCCTTAACGGACAACCTTTGCCGATTCCAAGTCTGACCGGTGGAATCGAGGATTTCTCTTACTTTTAACCAATTCATGATACTGGAGGTCAGGCTCCAAACAAGCCTTCTCAAGAATGCAAACAGGACCGTCTGTTATTATGTAAAACCGGAATATTTTTATAAACCAAAATTTTTTTTTTTTAAATGTCACCTTAAAAAATTCAATCATAATTCCTTCTCCAACATCTCAATGTCATTATGGGATTTATCTATAAGTCAAATATACGCCATTCCCCTGTTGAAATTCCTGGTCCGGATATACCGTTCCAGGAAATTATAATTCCTTACAGGGCCGGACTGCCGTCAGTGATCCTTCAGTTTGTGAAGGATTCTTGTCCTCAACACAAAAGCATAAAGGAGAGGTTAATTTCAAGACAACCTTGAGTCTAAAAATCTAGACAGCTCCATCTTTTAAGTTATTGGCCAGATTTTTTGTCTTCCATTCATATGTACCACAGCACTGGCGGACCTCATGTCTGGAGGCTAATCCAGCTCTTCAAAATAAAGATTTCCAGCACCTGCAGGACATAGTTCAAGACTGTGGGATATTCGATAGCATTTCTGACAGCATAGACAAGGCTCTCTCCCTCCATCCGTTTGCTCACATATTTGTGTTTGGCGATTTTAACGCCCATCATACCAAGTGGCTTAAGAATGCTACTACTGACCATGCAGGCATTCAAACATTAATTTTTCAATTTCTCAATCCCTCATGCAGATAGTTAACTTCCCCACTCATTTTGCCTACAAGTGGGAAGGTAAGGCCTCTCTTCTCGATCTGTGTTTTACCTCCATCCCCGGGTCTTGTAGCGCCATGCAACTCTGCCCTCTTAGTAACTCCGATCATGCTGTAATATCTGTTAACATCTCCTTCAACTCCACCCCCTGCAAAG